GGCAAGTAGTTATAGCTTTACGTTATCGCAGCCTGGCTCGGGGGACGTGGGTTTCTGGAACAGTAGTACGATCTTGATACCTGAGACGTCTGTGAATACTGCAACCCCGATCCCGCGGCGCTCGAAAGCGACTAGCGTCAAGCTCTACATTCAAATGTGACATTAAGGCGACTAAATAATCGTCCCAAGTGCGAGTCCTTGCTAATGTTTTGTTATTGTGGCAACCTGCGTAAGTGATGTGTCCTCGAGCAGGCCCGTGATAGTAGGCCGTATGCGTGCTGCTAAATATTTGAGCCCAATTTTCCTAACTTTTTCGGAATCAGCTGTCATGGGTCCTGCTAAAGACTGCAAGCGTGTGAAGTGATGGCTCGATTTCAATGACTTTCACTTCCGGTTTGACCGTAGATTAAGCTATTGTGATGGGGAGTTTTAAATCTGTGTTTTGGTCAGTTCCATTTTATACAACCTATATCTCAAACTTATGGTGATGAATAGAACCGCACGGAAAATAGTTTTCCAAGTCTTCGATATCGTGTTACTTTTGCTCAATATTCAGGTTTATCAAATCCACCCCTATCATGTTTATCAGGGAACCTAAAATAAGATCAGTAAAAAGACTATGTTAATTAAGCTTACTTACGAGCAGCATTAGAATTTGGAAAAGGGTAATACACCTAGGTAGTAAACAGCAACAAGTATAATTTTACGTAACATTGTGTATTGATGCTCTCTAATTATTTACTCAGTTTGAATCGATGAAGCCTAGAACTAAATAATTTTCATGAAACACATCGCTTCCCTCTAGGCAGCTAGAATCGTTATTCAAAAAGGCCACCTTCAGTGTTTCCGCTCAGACTTTAATGATTCGTCGTAACGTAACCGTTGTAACTCACTCCAACCGTCGTATAGTATACTGTAGAGTCTGAAACATCACCTTTAATTTTGAGGAAAATTATAGCCTTCTATATGAAGTCTGTGTATCTTATGAAATATTTGAGTAACTGAGCGACCTTTTACGGAAAATATGTCAGCAGTTTTAACATTTTGAACCTGCCTGCAAACTGACACGCCTTTGGTGACATGTTATCTGAGAATAAATAATAATAATAATTAATAGATGCAACCAAATTTGGCTTGCTCATGTATCAGCGTATTATATCACTTTATGGTATGGTGAAGCCTGGTATACATGGTACATAACCTATGTTGGCTTGAAATATAGAGTTTCGTGGAGGCTAGCTTGTGGAATTCTGGACTGAGAGGTAGAGTAGAAGACAATCAGCTACTGAGTTGTTGGCGAATAAGGATTTGAATGCAAACCACGGTTTCTAGTACTGAACGTAATCCTGGTTACCGTTTTGCATTTGTCACGTGATGCTGGGCTTGGTGGTAGGAAAATAGTAGCGGAAAAATGTTCGTATCAAGTGATGGACTGAAAGGATTTTTCGTAAAACAACAAGAACTATTTGCAGAACCATATTATCAGTCAATGGAAAAAGTATCTTCAAGTCTTCTGCAAGTGCTTCTCCAAATATAGTTGATATAGAGATAAAAGTAGTGACTGAATTTATTTTTGGATCCGAAATTGTAATTTCATTCAATGTCTATTGCAAGAGATGTGAAGATTTATTTGAGATGCACTTCACTGACCTAGACACTGATTCAAGCGTATGTGCTCTCATTGGGACTTTGGTAACTAATGAACACGCAAATTGTGTGAATTTTAATTCTTCCAAAATTTTCAAGTGGCATAAGTAATTATGAAACAATTGCACTTGGTGAACAAGCATATTTATTTAGCAAAAGTTAAGTTGCTTTATTGTAACCGAAGAACATACTGATGTTTTTTTTACGTCAGTCCTTATGGATACTACGTAGTCATCTAAGAGGTTTTTGTGTTCAGGTCTGCTGTTTTCTGTTGGAGGGTTCAGATGTTCTGAGCAACTTCTTATGATCGCATTGTGATAAAAGTGAGTTAGGACTCAAAAACCAACAAGTTACACAGAATATGGTCTTAGAGCAATTCTCTTCAAGCTCTTTTCGCGAGCTACGTTACTACAGAGTCAAGCGATCTGGCATGTAATTGGATCCTCTAATTTATGTAAGTGTATGATTATAGAAATTTTTATGTTAGATTGTAGACTGCGCTTGGCTAAGATACAATTGAAGAGTCTATTAATCTCATTAGCTCAGTAACTCTGGCATGCAATATACTGATTAAGGATAATTTTTGTGAGTAGCTCACGAATGATCTGGTTTTTACGTAAGTCTATTCTAAATAGCAGTGGGTGGGTAAAGAAACCAACTACCAACTGACTAGACTTAGACAGTAGAGTGGCTAGACCTCCATTCTTTGGAAACTAACAAACACCTGGAAACGTACCGAAAGAACAAGAATCGAGAGGAAAAAAATCAATTGGTTAATACTAGCTCGTGAAAAGGATATTGGATACTGGATAGGCTGCTTCTAACTTCCCCCATTAACTCAAGTGTACTTTTATTGATAGTTACATGAATTGATTTGACTCTACCGACAATCAGAAATCACTACTTTGATTTCTGAAAAATTCATTGTTAACCGTACCGAAAGAACATAATCGAGCGCAAAGAAATCATTTGGTTTATACCAGCTCGTGAAAAGGATATTGAAGTTATGTTGTAGGTTGAAAATAGATACGTCAGTTAGAGCAGTTCTTTCACGAATTTGAAGCGTGTGATAGTAAACGAAGTTTCAGACTAATATACATCAAGGATATAGCAGCAAAAAACTTACTAATATCGAAATAGTGTACAGAAAAACTACTCTGCATTTATCGCTGGATTAATTACAAATGAGGGAGTACATGGATTAGAATAAAATACTCCGTGAAGCTGAACACGGTTTTCGGAAAGGCAGGTCGTGTGTCCCTAATCTTCTCATCGCATGGGACAGTTGGACCGTATAATACCAGTGCACGTAGTATTTCTCGACTTCGCAAAAGCCTTCGACACAGTGCCCCACGCACGCCTAATCGAAAAGGTTGTGGAAATGGGCTTCACTGACCCACTCGTACCTTGACTCAGAAACTACCTTGAGAATAGAAAGTTTCACACCAAGGTAAACAGGTTGCACGCGAGTTGGAGAGTATCCACTACAGGAGTTTCACAGGGGACCATCCTAGGCCCACTCCTCTTCCTGATATTTATTAACGACCTGCTAGGCTTAGTTAGCTCACCGGCATTGATCTACGCAGACGATGCCAAGATCTGGAGGTCCATCAGAAGAGAAGAGGATCGACTGAGCTTCAAAAGGACCTTACATCTATTGAGAAATGGGCAGTGAAAAACGGTTTAAAACTCAACCAACCGAAGTGCCACGTCATGCATTTCCTGCCTCATATTACGCAAACGACCTACACTCTCAATGGAAGTCCGCTCCCTAATGTCTACTCAGAGCGCGATCTTGGTTTAATAACCACAGAAAGCCTCCACACGAGTCCGAACTCTGTAGGGGATGCAGCCAAGGCAAATGCGACTCTTCACTACACGCGAAGACAGCTTGGTGCTATCACCCCGAAATTATTTTTAACCCTGTTTAAGACGCACGCGTGCCCACACTTGGAGGTTCACAACGTCATCTCACCCTCTCTGCCTAAAAGAGACATAAATTTCTTGAATCGAGTTCAGAGACGAGCAACCAAATGGGTGATAGGGTTGAAAAATTAGCCTTACGACGATAGATTCCAGCTCATGGTATTATTTTTACACTGAACAACAAGGGAATCAGAGGTGATCTGATTATGGCGTACACCATATTAAGCACGCCAAACCATCCCATTGTGAGCATCTTACCGATGCATCACCACCACTCCCCTCTAGGCAATCCTCGAAAGATTGCACATCAAAGAGCAAATACTCAGATTCGTGCACACTTTTTCTGATTGCGAGTCGTCGCAACTTGGAATGCTCTCCCAGCCGAGGTAGTTACAGCCCCCTCAGTGGACTGCTTTAAGAAGAGACTTGTTATTCACGTACTTACATACGGATTATCATCTCCCTCTTAGACAAGCTGTTCATGATGCATAACTTGAGACCTGCTAGTTGTTACCATTACCATCTCCTCAGATCAATCAACTAATCTATCCCGCCTATTATCTCTGTTTCCTCTCCCTTGCTTACACTTCGGTCCTCTCTCATAATCTTCACTACCAATTAATAAACTAAATTCTTACTCAGTTCTGAAATTTTATTCATATTATCATTAGAATCTTATCCTTATTACCCTTGTTGCTCTCCACATTGCAACTAACTGATCTCCGGTTTGGTAATGTGACGGCTGCTAGTATCCAGAAACCCTACTGCCCTGAAACAAATGTTTCATTCAAATCCCGAGACATACAAACTCACAACCAACTGCCAACTGACTAGAATTAGACAGTAGAGTGGCTAGACCTCCATCCATTGGACATTACCGAACACCTGGAACCGTACCAAAAGAACAAGAATCGAGCGCGAAGAAATCGAAATGGTTTACACTAGCTCGTGAAAAAGATATTGGATATTGAATTACCAGTCTAAATTATGTCAATCATTTCTAGAATTCAACCCTGAAGAAATTTCACTGACTATTTTGAATATAACTAAGTAAACTGGAGGTACTGAGACACATGCAGCCGGCTCATTCCAGCGTAATGGTTACACGACGGTCAGCTTGATGTTTGAATTCCGTCTTCAAAATGACAAGGGCGAGCTACAAGGTTCCTCACTCATTATAGCCAATCAAAAACAAGAAGTGGGGAGCGGCGAGTTTGATTGTTTTTGGTTTTTGTGTAGGATAATGACATGGGGGTGTCTTACCTGTTTGAAGGATATAATTTGTACTCAGTGGGCATTAGTTGCCTTAGTTCTGTTGTTATTTGCAGTTTACATCACTCCCAAGTAATTCCAATCACCTACCATATTTGTTGCAGAGTTTTGGTTATTGTCCTATCATCATTTCTTAGCAAATTTATCCCATGTATCCTCACTGTCCAAAGGTTTGGATTTATTTGGGCACGTGGAGTTACTCTCACCTTTGTAAACGGAGAATGCATGGTAAATATCATTCATTAAGATAGTGATGATTCAGTATGTCGATTCTATATACCTGAGCAGTAGTTTATGGAACACTAACGCTAAGTAAGTTTTAAATTGGAATACTTGAACTTGTGAAGGACTCTGGTATCGGCTTGGATAACTGGTGTTGAATTTCACGTGACTGATATTGGTCTGTGTGGTATCATTAAAGTAATCCAACGCAGGAGCGACGACATTAGAACTCGTCTGAATAAACGATTCTTATCATGGAAAATAAGGCTGCTTTCGGTAAGTCATATAAAGCTTTTAGTTCCTTACAGCTCTGAGTTCTTAATTTTCGCATGCCTACTATTGCTTTTTCTCAAACATTTTGAAAAACATTACCGATCATTGCTGTTGCATCACGCTTAAGCTTACTAGCAGGAGAGTACAAAAATACAATAATCACAGTATGTAATACTGAAAAAGAAATGTAAACAATAACTTCAGATAGAACTGGAATGTAAGTTTGACTTTACCAATACCCCATCAAAATTCAAAAATCTGGTTAGTGCTTGATAATACTTGTAGACCACGAAAAACCCTTGACTGTGATTTAAACACATCATGCACTCTCCGATACAATGCGCATATGGAGCACGCATTTAGCTTGCCATATAGTGGTTACATAAAAGCTAGTTTTAACAAATCTGAGCATTTTGGAAACTGATAGTAAGCAAAAATACGATTCATTCCATTCCTTCACTGCGTTTCAGATCTTGCACAAGATGCCTAAATGTCATCTCAAAAACAGTCGATTATGTGAGGGTCATTGCCAATAATATGGCTGTACCCAATTAGCTTTCAACAATTACTAGCTATTATCCCGACTGATAGTAACGTAAAGTAATGTCATATAAATATTTCGTAGCAGCTAGTGTAGGGAGGAAATTCTAGACAATTTTAGAAGAATAACTTCCATCAGAATATGGCTAGCGTTTCACGTCGTTACAGTGTAAGGTAGCTGAACATGGATAGGATTTTCTGTACTACTAATTTCTATAATGATGAATTGGCAGTTTCTGGGTGCATGTACCTGATTACTAACGAAAATGTTACGAAATGTGTTGTAAACGAAAATTGCTAGTTTTTGAGAATGGTAGCTAAGAATGTTGATTCTGTTATTTTATTTTTAATTTTCCCTAAAGTTCATTTCAGTTGATTTATCGTCTATACAAATAATAGTATTATCGACCAAATTTCTGGATGATGCTTTATATTGCAATTATGAACCGACTAAGAATGGCAATCGTAACCTTCATAACATCAATAAATCTGTCTGTCATCATTGTTTAATTCATTTCAGTGATGTAAATGATGTTAACCAACCTAGTGAATTTAATCGTCAAACAAGTTTCCGCTTGAATAAAACTAGTAAACTGGCTTTAACATTACGATTGAAAAAGTTAACAATGTTATTTCATATCAGTATGAGACAGTATGTTCTTATTCATGTATTAATGATATTATTATTATTACCATTGTTAATATGTTAGCACTAAGATAATTTCACGATCAGTCTACTATGATCAGCTTAAAACCTGGCAAAAATATACAGTTGCCCAAGTTGCTTTGCCGCATTCAGCATTAGTGAAATGTGAAATAAGTCAAAGGCAGGAAACAAGGGTCGCTACCAGAAACAAAAGGAAGATTAGGCGATACAGATCAGGTTCAGTTGTGAGCGAGGTGATCTTTACTGCTGTTAGAGGTTTGAGGTTGGTTATTCTGGTTGCTCTCACTGTATAGGAATACTTTTACTCGAGGTACATAAGCAAAAACACGAGCTATGAGTGATTTGGATGACTTGACGTGATCTTAGTGCTCTAAGATAACAAACTGAGACTGGTCGCATAGTCCACGTTGATAATGTTAGGTGTATTAACGTCGTACTTTTAAGGCCTTATCATCAGGGACGAGAATAAGTGACGGAAGTTGAGGTGTGCCATTTTCAAGCCAATTTCTCCTGACATCATCTTTCCTCTGTCGGAAGTCAGTATCACTAGGCACGCTGCTTGTTTAAGAGAAATAGCTTACTGCTTTCACACCCTAGTAGTCACCAGTATTCCTTCACTTTCGTGTCATGAGTTTATTAGTTTTAATATTATCGTTCTCCAACCAACCTGCCCGGTATAATAGAAATTAAAAAAAGATGTTCTAATCAATATAGCTCTATTGAGATATTATATTATACAAGCTCGATTATGTCATTAACGTAGCAACTATGGTCCAGTTTATCCACGGAGTTACGGAATGAGATCACTCCTCAATGTATTTTAGTTTAAACAATCGACCCATATCTCTCAACAATCCGAACTGAATGTATGTTGCGTTTAATAGATACGAATACCATGGAGTCCACAGTTTTTGACACGACTCAGTCAAACAGTCAACAGCTTCAAGGAATGATGTCTTTATTTTACTGCTCCCTAGTTTCCTTCAAATCTGATTCTGTTCCAGCCACATCAAATCCTAGAGTAGGCGCTGACAAACACGCGTAAATATTTCTTTTTACTACTTCAGTCAATAAAAGCTTAACATATCCAACTAGTGCCTTACACCTAACCTCGGGATGCATCAGTATGAATTACTTACAACTCCAAAGAAACAGTCAGATTCTAAAGACAAAGGAATCGAATCTTAGAGCTAAACCATTTGGCAGAAAAGTAATTTCGATTTATGAACTTGTCAGATTCATTTGGTAGTCTCGGATATGGTGTTTATAAATTTATCAACCGTAGTTATTATCCTAAATGAATTGGCCACTTATCCTTAAATCTTGCAACCGATCCAAATGTTCTACTTTTCTCCAAAACTTCAAACTGATTCAACAATAGCTAAAAACGTCGATACCTAATTAAACCACATTCTATTCCCTACCGTAGCTGCTACCTTGACGTGGTGGTCGGGCTTGCCTACCATGATGACTCAACACAGCTATACTGGCTGGAACATATGTTGCTGAAGGTTCTACCACGCCATGCAGGTCGATTGGAGAACGATGAGATTAAAAGCAGCTACTGAATGTCCGAGGGCGAAGTCGTACTGCTGACTGCAGAGGGGTGTGACAGCAGTAAGGTGTTTCCCTCGGACAACCAGCATCTGCAGCGATGATGCCTTCTCACAAGGAAGGAAGTGTTAGAAAAGGTCGACCCCTAAAAATGTCACACCTCACCCTACCTCATGGACTTCCGTTTCCGGCGGTAAGGGTGCCCACTAAGGGCTTTTAAGAGCAGAGTTAATACTAAAAACACCTTTCATAAAAAGGCCGTGCGTGACCGGCCTCAAGCAGTTGTCCCTTGAACTCTGCGGTCACGCACCCAGGTCTCTAAGCCCACCATGAGGCAGCTTAGAATCCTATACAAAATTCTGTGGAAACAGCAGTGATAGCTGCTAGTAAGGTCAACCATAAGTCTAGGGAGAAGCCGTGGATTTCAGTGGCATCTGCTGAACTGATGGGTGCTCGAAAACTCACTCCATCTAGCTCTGAGTACGATGAAGAGTGGAGTCAGCTTAGGCGCAGGCTGACGAGAGCCTACGCAACGACCGTGAACAGTGGTGGGTAGCGAAAGCGAGAGAGTTGCGAAAGTCAGTGGCGATAGGCAACAGTAGACAACTACTATTCAGACTTATCAAAGAAACCGGTATTAGGAATCCTAGTGTAAGTGAGACTATCTCGGAAAATGATGGGACTATTATTTATTCTCAATCCAGGAGACTGAATAGATGGGCAGAACACTATAGGGATCAGCTGAATTGGTCTTCAGTCAAACTTTCGTTGCTGACGATCTCCAGTCAACATCAATGGCAAATCGACGTAAGTCGTCCGAATCTTTATGAAGTTGAAAAAGGTATAGGAAATCTAAAGCGAGGGAAAGCAATGCGTCCTGATAGACTGACCCCAGAGATTTTTAAGGATGCTGGTCCAGTTTTAGCATTTAGGTTGACTGAAATCTTATGTAGAATCTGGGAACTGGACATAATCCGATCCGACTGGTTTCAGTCTTCGAAGAAATGACAAAAGTCTTCTGTGGCAATCACAGGAGAATCAGTCTAACTAATTTAGTATCTAAAATATTAGCCTCAATAATACTTCGACGCTTAACGGAAAGCTCGTGAAGAGCAGACTATAGAAAATCGGGCTGGTTTTTGGCCTCGACGTGGATGTATGGACCACATATTCACACACATTTTGTCTCCCTTGACCTTAAAGCGGCATTCAACTCTGTGGATCCTGAGGTTCTGTGGCAGTGTCTGTCATTGAAAGGTGTACCAAAGAAGTACATTAACCTTAAACAAGCTCTCTACTCGAACACTGCAGGTCGAGTTAAAGCCTATAGCAAACAGTCACCGTCAGTGATGTCCACTTTCTCCATTCTTGTTTTATTTTGTCATAGACCTGCGTATAGAGATCTTCGTCTTACTGTCCTGGAGTGGATGTTCTACCAGGCGACTCGCTTATCGACTTAAAATATGCCGATGACATAGTTCTATACGGTGAAGACGATGACAAAATGCAGAATCTTCTGACTACCCCGCGCAACTATGCAAGGATGTTCGGGATGCGGTTCTCTTCCTTGAAATGCAAAATGCTGCTTCAAGATTGGGTAGCATCAGTACCTGAACTAGTGATAGGGAGTGAAGTAGTCTAGCGTGTAGACCGCTTCACTTATCTGCTGAGTCTCATCAGTGCTGATGGCCTGGTGACTGACAAAATCTCAGCTTGGATACAGAAGGCTCCATCGGCTTCTGTTAGACAGACAGATACAACGCAGAACTTCGTACGTAAGTACATCAGTTCAGGTTGCCTAGCCCCATCAGCACAGAGGCGCAACTGTCATTTCAAATCCAGGAGTGATAGCAATAATAGAAGTATTATCAGTAGTGGAGAAGATTAGGGTGAGAAGATATGATTCGAGAAGTATAATTCAGTAAGATAAATTTAGAAGGAGAAAGTTAGAGATTATGAAGAATTCAGAAGGTTACAATTAGAGAGAACACAAACAGTGGATCCACCTGCGCCATTACAAACGATTCTGAGCCATGTCGTTCAAGGTCTCTAACCATCGGTGACTATCGTCTCGCGGACCCCAACCAGGTAGCCTACATCTACCAACATGACTCAGTCCACTTGTCAGTGACTTCATGGATTTCTGCCATGTTTTGGTTTGGCCGCCCCTAACTTTCTTCCAACCTACTCCCAAACTGCAAAACATAGCTCTTCGCGGCAGTCGGTGGTTAGGCATACGTAACACATGTCCCAACCACCTCAACTGATGAATTTTCACTACTTCATCTATTGATTTACCATCTCTACCTAGAACTCGTTTCCTAACGACAGCATTGCTTATACGGTTGTCCCATGATACACGAGCAATGCTTCGGATACAGCGATGATCCAAGACTAGTAACCTACGAATGTCCTGTACTCTTAACGGCTAAGTCTCGCGTCCGTACAGTAGGACGGAGCGAACTACTGCGCAGTACACTCGTCCTTTAGTCAGCAAACGGATATCTCGCCTACGCCATAAGTGATGCAGGTTGGAAAAAGCCAATCGAGCCTTCTGTATCCGAGCTGAGATTTCGTCAGTCACCAGGCCATCAGCGATGGTTAGACTACCCAGATAAGTGAAGCGGTCTACACGCTAGACTACTTCACTCCCTATCACTAGTTCAGGTGCCGATGCAACTCAGTCTTGAAGCAACATTTTGCATTTCGATGGGGAAAGCCGCATCCCGAACATCCTTGCATTGTTGCTTAGGGTGGTCAGAAGAAGACTTGTGTCTTTTCTTGTGAATTGGGACAATCAAGGATTGAGACCAGTCAGATGGGATTACGTCCAGTTCCCAGATTCTACATAAGATCTCAGTCAATCTAGATGCTAAAACTGTACTAGCATCCTTAAAAATCTCTGGGGTCAGTCTATCAGGACCTACAGCTCGCTCTCGCTTCAGATATCCTAACGCTTTCTCAACTTTATAAAGACTAGACGGATTTGCCATTCATGATGACTGGAGATCGTGGGTAACCGAAGAGTGGCTCGAGGCCAGTTGAACTGATCTCTAAAGTGTTCTTCCCATCTCTTCAGTCTCCTGGATTGAGAATAAATAATAGTCCCATCATTTTCCGAGATAGTCTCACTTACACTAGGATTCCTAATACCGGTTTCTTTGATAAGTCTGAATAGTAGTTGTCTACTGTTGCCTATCGCCACTGACTTTCGCAACTCTCTCGCTTTCGCTACCCACCACTGTTCACGGTCGTTGCGTAGGCTCTCGTCAGCCTGCGCCTAAGCTGACTCCACTCTTCATCGTACTCAGAGCTAGATGGAGTGAGTTTTCAAGCATCCATCAGTTCGGTGGATGCTACAGAGATCCATGGTTTCATTCTAGCCTTATCGTTAACCTTACTAGCAGTTGTCACTGCTGTTTCCACAGCCTTTTTGATATCATTCCAACCTGCTTCAGGATGGGAATCACTCTCATGGCCGCCTAACTGTTTTTCTAGTTCCTCCTGAAATATTTTCTTAGCTTGATTATCATCAAGTAAAGCCCTAAGAGGCTTCCTTACGGTGTCTTTCCTACGTCCAGCAAGCCTCAAACAAATATGCACTCGCATTAGGGCATGATCTGAATCCAAACATGTGCCCCAGAACGAGCGACAGTCTTCTATCGAACCCCTCCATCGGTGACTGATGGCGGTTTGATCTAGTTGGGTCAAACGTTGAGACGTCCTCGGGGGACGCCAAGTCAAAGGATGTTTTTCCTTATGCTAAAAGTTAGTGTTTGCTGGAAATAGTTGGTTATCTGAGCACAGTTGCAACAGACGGTCGCCATTGTCTGTTCTTTGAGCCGCGACACCATAACATCCACCTAGGTGTCTTTCATTTTCACTTAGTCTACCTACCTGAGCATTAAAGTCACCAGCCATTATTACTACATCAGAGTGCCTAACTTTTTGGAGGAGGTCCGAAAGCTTTCTGTAAAACTCATCTTTCACCTCGTCTGAACTGCAGTCAATGGGGGCATAGGCAGATACGACGAAGAGGCAACGACGGGTGTCCCTATCTTTCCGAATCCTTACTGTCCCGTTCAGTCGGACGGCGCACAAGCGACTATTTATTGGGATCCAGTCTAGGAAAGCTAGTTCTTCCCTACGACTCAATACTCTACCTACACCAGCGAGACCGCGGGAAGCAGCATCAGGGATGCTTCTTTATTTTGACAAGGCGAAATCAGATTAATGACTTTACTAGGGTCCTGTATGCTCGTTTCCGAGACGCAGCGTACATCGATTGAGCGAGATTCTAATGTTCTAGCTAACAAAGCCTGTTGCCCTATTTGACATAATGTACGTACGTTAAATGTTCCAACGTGTAGTCTAGAGCGGGGTTTCAGGCGACCAGGAACGACGTTTCGCGAACTCGCATCGTTTGCATTAGCTATGCACTGTGATATATGAATGTGAGAAGAGTTAGTCGTGGTGAGGTATTAGGGGGTGTAGGAAGGATTTGTTTGTGACCAATTTGGTCTCTTGTGCTGTTACGGGTATGAGGGCGGTTATCACTTCCCAGTTGCCCACACCGTGGAGGAGTGTTTCTTTAGGAACCTGAAAAGGGAGGGAGATTAGTGTTGGTCTTAGAGACCTGGGTGCGTGACCGCAGAGTTCAAGGGACAACTGCTTGAGGCCGGTCACGCACGGCCTTTTTATGAAAGGTTTTTTGAGGATTAGCTCCGTTCTTAAAGGCCCTTAATGGGCACCCTTACCGCCGGAAACGGAAATCCGTGAGGTAGGGTGAGGTGTGACATTTTCAGGGTCGACCTTTTCTAACCCTTCCTTCCTTGTGAGAAGGCAGCATCGCTGTAGATGCTGGTTGTCCGAGGGAAACACCTAACTACTGTCACACCCCTCTGCAGTCAGCAGTACGACTTCGCCCTCAGACCCTTGGTAGCTGCTTTTAATCTCATCGTTCTCCAATCGACCTGCATGGCGTGGTAGAACCTTCAGCAACATATGTTCCAGCCAGTATAGCTGTGTTGAGTCATCATGGTAGGCAAGCCCGACCACCACGGTTGGGATCGGCTTCTGTTAAATTGCATCACTTACGGCATATGCGAATTATCCGTTTGGTAACCGAAGGATGAGTCTACTGCGCAACAGTTCTCTTCGTCCTACTTTATCGCTCTGAAACATGGCCAATGAGAGTAAAAGTTATTCGTAGGTTACTGGTTTTGAGTTGGCAGTTGCATCTCTATGCTAATGTGGTATGGCAACCTGATTTGATGTATGAAGTTCTACTTTGTAACTGACTGACTGACTGATTTAGCAGTTTATCATCATATTGATTTCGCCTTAGTTGATTAATTTATGTATCTACTTTCTGTAAACCAATAAATTAGCGGGGAAGAAGCATAGAGGTTGTTGAATTTTCCCTTTCAAACCATAAACTACTATTAAAATCCAAGAAGCACTGAAGTGCTATTTCGTCCCAGCATGGAATTCCCCAGAGATGCTCATTCGCGACCGCACCAGAGACCGGACACAGGACCGTTGGAGCTTGAATCCATAAATTTAGGATTCAGTCTCTGGGTCGGATTATAATGGCGCACTATTGTTAAGCTCTACGTTGAAACTAAGCAGTCATCCAGTGCTTCCTGCTTTTCAATTATTGTCTACGATCAGTTTGTTATGTAAACTATGAAAATTTGATAATATTCGTTCAGAATTTTGAAAATTGGTTAAACTTTTCATATAACACCATTTCTACTTGTTCTCTTGTTTAACTAAACCTCCATTTCTCTTTCTATACATTTGTATAAGGGCTCATATAAATCTTCATGTTTCTCACACATGTGGAAAAATACTATTTATACCTGTGTTCACAGAAAATTGGTTAAATGATGATTTATTCATTAAAAATTGGAATGTTATATTTGAAAACGCTTACATATTGGGTCATCTTCGTTTACAATTGTCCACTAATATTTTATTTGAACTTCAAAATTTCAAAAATCCAACTTCATCATTAACTCGTTGGTTTATGAGATCGATTGACTTGAAATTGTGTGGACTACGTGTTGCAATTTTGGAAGGTAAGCTCATAGGAAATGATAGTTTTTGTTGAGGGGCACTCTTCGAGCCTTTGACCAAAAGGTCGAATCTACAAGGCATTTGAACAACATTGGGGAATACGGTCCCGTAGCAACTGGTAACCAAATTTACAGCCATACTTCATTTGTGCTCACGGCATTATGAAGCCCATATGCATCGTTGGTTTAGAATTAGGGTCTTCCATCCTCCCTACATGGATCTTCCTTATCCCTGGATCGAGTTTGTGTTGTGGACGTTAGATCCCCAGAACTCACTTGGAAAAGGTCCTGATTTTGTTTTTGTATTCTGAGATTTTGAGTTTCTGTGTTTTCTGACCAGAGATGCTAAGCTGACCTTTAGCTAACATTTCCCATTTGGAAAATCCTTGACAGTCATTCGTTGACGGATTATATTAGTACTCTCTTTTGTGGCTCTCCCAAGGGCGTTTCTTGATCTAGTTAGCAGGACCTGGGACAAATGGATTAGAATAGCTTATCGTGTCACTGAGTCAGTGCTCTTCGCTCCATTTACCTAGTAAGGTAAATTCATAATAGCATTCAAACATTATCAGTTTGTGCGCCGGGTATTCTCTTCTCTTCCTCGATTTCTTAAGCAATACCCAAGTGAGTAGGACTTACGTGAAAGTTGCTATACACGTGTGGTCTTATGATGGCAGACTCTCCCCACTGTTCAACACACCAAGGCATTTCAGAGCTTCTGTAGCAGTAATCACGATATAACCAAGTTGAATATCCGGAATGTTTTAGTTTCTTGCTTATAGATCACCTCTTATTTACACATAAAATGAAAATGTTTGATCAGAATACATGTTTATATCTCAGCTAATATAATCACTATTATTATTATTATTATTATTATTATTATTATTATTATTATTATTATATTTCATAGAACTTATTGATTTATTGAGTTGGAAACTTTACACAAATAAAACGTGTGTTTTAACCACACCGTCATCATCAGCATGTTATCGTTGTCATCATTTGTCTATTATGCATGAAGAAGATAAAATGAACATTCTGGAGAATTCATCATTTTATTTTAAAAATAATCAACCCTCCACTTGTTATTTGAAACAAACACCCGAGAATATCATATCGAATAATTCGTTAAAATCAAATTTTCAATCATTGAATTCCATTAAATTATGCATTTCATTTTTACCATTACAACTGTTCAATTTCAATTATGATTATTATACTGAACAGATACAATCACAATTGTCAACATCATCAGCATCGTCCGATTCATCTCTAACAGAAATGGGATTTTATTTTGAAATAATTAGATATTCATTTGAAAGGTGAATAATAGTGTGTGTGTGTGTGTATGTGTGTGTGTCAATGTTTCGTTTCTATTGTACATTTTTCTCATCAGTAATTTCATCCAATTTACTGAAGTATATGCGTTCGAACAGAGGAATTTGAGCTAAATGTGTTAAGTAAAAGCCAATAATAATAATAACAATAATACGTGGATGGTTGAGCAGATGAGGTCCAGTTTTGTTCAACTTTCCACCACTATGACCCAGGCTCGAACCTCACTGCACGTACTTCGATTCGGACAACCAGGTAGTATCGTTAATCCTCAAAATTATACTGTAACACATACTAAAGTATATAAATTTAAACCAGGTTTTCAATTTATAATGTGCTAACAAAGCAATTGATGTACGTGTTTTGAATCTGTGACTCAAGTTGTTGTGACAGTTAAGTGCGTTATATAATGATTACTGATTCACTGTTGTATCTATTTTTCACTCAATGTTTATTCATATGAAAAGTTATAGGTACAGTCTAATCTATCCACAAAACACATTCATATCAGTCAATCGAGGAATACCAATTTATTTCTAAATCTTAGATAGCCTTTGTCGATAACTGTCAACTGTCATGAAATCTATATTTAGAGCTTTGTATTCATTTTCTTCTCCAATTAACATTTAAAGAGTTTGCTCAGCACCAAGTCATTTGACTAATAATAAGTTTACCACATTACAACATAATCAGTAGAACTCAAACAAATTTGATTCTAGTTCTTATTCAATAATAAAGGAAGCATCTAGTCACTTCTGTCAGTCAGTCACAAAGTAGAACTTCGTACGTACACACATCAGTTCATGTTGCCATACCACATTAGCACAGAGAAGCAATTGTCAATTCTAATCCCATAGTAGTAGAGGTAGTAGGAGTTTTAGCAATAATCGGATAGATTAGGATTCGAGGCATCTAGTTACTTAAGGAGTTATTGTATTGTTCTCTAGTAATAACACTTAATTACATTGGTTAGACTTCGTTAGCATACACACAAATATCTCGAAGGCTAGTTCACGTCACCTGAACAATCCTTGAACATCGGAGAACACTGAAAAATTGTCTTATCTCGGTCTCTCGGGACTCTTCAATGGTTCACATGCAGGACATTTTTGTTTCATTGTGATAAGTCTTAAAAACGACTCGAAATTTTAAAAGAAAGTCGAAACCGGTGGCGTCAAACCATATTAAGAGTAACTCAGTTATAACTGAATGCTGACTCCATATTATTGCAATTCAATTCAAGCTAGAACAATGGGGGAAACTGATTTTAAACCTAATGGTCTAAACTTAGCTCGCCGCCATCTGGCCTGTCGGTTCTAAATTAAATCTCTGGTGTTCCCATGTTGATGCACACTTCTAAAGATACTCCAATGATTGTTTAGCTGAATTCAGCGGGTACTGTTAAACCATCTTTCAGTTAAATAATATTGACGTGATTCACATCCGTCTAATTCTGTTTCTCTGTTGCATTTTCCTTTTTTACAGAAGTTTACAATTCTATTTGACTTCATCTCATCTATCTATGGAATTCAATGTACGTAATTCTATAAAATGTAGTCAACATACTAAAACACGTCAAATGGCATCTGATTATTATACGTTATCACATTCATTATCTTTACCAACAGCACGAATAATTCCATCGGATCAATTTTATGATAATAATATTGACAGCAAAAATGTATTTAATTATTTTACTTTGTTAAATTTTCGATTTTGTTTCAATGATTTACGCTTATTAAATGGTTGGAATTCACAGGCTAAGAATTATTTATTAGATGCTAGAATCTGTTTAATGGAAGTAACCGAACAAGTAAGTCATTATTATTATTATTATTATATAACAGAAAAACTGAACAGCCGTCTCTTAATATAAGGTTCTTCACAAGTAAGTGTCCATGACCCTACCGGAGATCAAACCTAGGACCTTCAGGTCTAATAGCAATTACTTAACCTCTAACTCACTCAGTTGACATCCAGTAGCTTTAAGTGGTTGTCTAACCAGGGCCAGTTCATGAAGCAAATTACAAAATTAAATAAATCTGATAAGTCCCGTCTACGTATAGTACCTATATGGTCACTAGTTCCTAATCTGAAGAATTCAGATTGGAAGAAAGTTAGGGGCGGCCAAACCAAACATGGCAAAAATCCATGAAGTCATTGACAAGTGGACTTAGCCATGTCGGTAATTGTCGACTACCTGGTTGGGATCCGCGAGATGATAATAATCGATGGTTAGAGACCTTGAATGACATGGCTCAAAATCGTTCGCAATGGCACCGGTGCATTTATTCTTTGTGTTCTCTCAAATCATAATCTTCTGGATTCTTCAACCCCTCTAGTTTTGACTTTCTAAACTTTTCTCACTGAATCATACTTCTTGAATAATATCTTCTAATCCTAACCTCTCCGATTACTTCTAATACCTTTACTACCTCTTCTACTATTGGATTTGAATTGAAAATTACATCTCTGTGCTGATGTGGTATGGCAACATGAACTGATGTACTTACGTACAAAGTTCTACGTTGCATCTGACTGACTGACTGACTAAATCTGAAGAATTCCGGTGAGAAGCGGCGATTATTGATGTTCATTCATGTTGAGTGTAAAGAAGTTACCCACCAATAAAAATAGATGGTATTTGTACAATGTCACACCTTAGCTGAAGACACCAATGATCGTATACTAGTAACCATCGAATATCCTCTATTCTTAGTGGCCATATTCCACAACCACAAGACAAATGTTTTATAAATGCGCAACACATATATGGTAATCCATTGTAAAATAGTCCTCAAAGTGTTCTTCCGCATACATTGATTATAATAGGACGAGTGGTGCGAAAGTTAGAACTCTCGGAACCATTTTATAGATTATTCATTCTGACTGCATAATCACTAAACAAGTGGACTATTATGTTTCTACATTCCATTTGACTCATTACAACTACAAGTCCTATTCGGTTAAGATGAAAGGTGGGTAACAGTGAGATCCAAGACGCGCGTTTCGTCCTATTTTACACTCGTTAGCTGGATGTATCTGCGTCCCGGACTTTATGTTTACTCCGGGACTTGAACCGAGTATCGCTCGCTTCACACGTCATTGCGTTATCCATTTAGCTACTAAGTCTAGTAAGCCACCACTCATCTCTGCTTATTATACTTGTAACGTAATGATAGTACCAAAGCAATCCGCATTAGATCATTTTCCTTCCTAAACATCAATATCTAACTAACCAATAAATAGATATTTCATCATTATGTACTGCTTACTCGGTTTACAGTCACTTTTGATTTGTATGTGTATGCATTTGATTTTCTACTTTTTATGACATCATTTGGTCGAATGGCACTACTATAAACTTATCTGTGCTTGAAATAAAAACAATAGAATCTAGGCTCCATGTTTCTCTTCAGACTCAAGGTAGAAAATGGGACTGGTAAGTCAGTAGGAATATAGCCTTCCTTGACTGAAGATTAAGTATGCTGGTCAGGACAGATCATTACTGAAGTCTATCAACAATACTAACCTCTAGACACAATAGCTAATGCAAAGATAGAAAAGTCTTAATTAGAATTCTGATTGACAAACCACGGATATGATACGAGTAAACGTCTCACGGACATAAGACTACTTATGCTCTCATGGGTAACACTGGTTGGTTTTGAGCTCTGCTGTTCATATATGAATATGTGTTTAGATCTGTGACACTCTACCTTCACAGGCTATCCATGCTGAAGAGTTTACTATCTACTACTTGGAAATTATGTATTTTCAGTTGTAGTCGCAACAAAAAATCATATCAATAAACTGATAAGCTGATTCATCACTTAAATCAAAAGTCAAAACTATCCTGTTTTCATCAACTACACATTTCATTTCGTTTTCATTATGATTTCAGTTTTCTTTTCACTTGTAATCTCCTGTTATTTATTTTCTTACTTTTTGTTTATTTAACAGCTTGAATCGTCCATTTGTAATATTTATTTCAATATTCTACATTCATCTATATTTTATATACATGATAATTTAATTGAAATGAATTTTTATGAAAAATTATCATCTGTTACTTATTTAATTGGAAAATGGTGTAAAATGTTGTATCAAAATAGCAATAATAATCGCAGTATTGATCAATCATTTATGCCTATGACCAATAGTGAATTGCATAATTATCCAAAAGAAACAGATCTGAAACAGTGTAATTTTATGGTAAGTATATACATGCATATAATATATATATATATATATATATATATATATATATATATACCTTGTTCAATACCTAGTGATCTTCATTTAACTTTATACAAGCACTCTACTCGAACACCACTGGTCGAGTGAGAGCTTATGGCGAACTGTCAACAGAATTCTTTACTTCAAGTAGTGTCCGTCAGGGATGTCCACTTTCTCCATTCTTGTTTAATTTTATCATAGACATGCTTTTAGAAATAACCTTATCGTTGTCTGAATTTTCAGGAGTAGACCTTTTACCAGGAGGCTCGCCGATGACATAGTCCTACTTGGTGAAGACTCTGACAAAATGCAGTCTCCTGACTACTATAAGCAACAATGCAAGCATGTTCGGGATGCGGTTCTCCCCCTCGAAATGCATAATGTTGCTTCAAGATTGGGTTGTATCGGCACCTGAACTAGTGATAGGGAGTGAAGTAGTCGAACGTGCAGACCGCTTCACTTATCTTGGGAGTCTCATCAGTGCTGATGACCTGCTGACTGACGAAATCTCAGCACGGATACAGGAAGCTCGATTGGCTTTTGCCAACCTGCGTCACTTATGGCGTAGGCGAGATATCCGTTTGCTGACTAAAGGAGGAGTGTACTGCGCAGTAGTTCGCTCCGTCCTACAGTACGGATGCGAGACTTGGCCGTTAAGAGTAGAGGACATTCGTAGGTTACTAGTCATCGATAATCGCTGTATCCGAAGCATTGTTCATGTATTATGGGACAACCGTATAAGGAATGCTGTCGTTAGGAAACGGGTTCTGGGTAGGGACGGCAAATCAATAGATGAAGTAGTGAAAATTCATCAGTAGAGGTGGTTGGGACATGTGTTACGTATGGGTAACCACCGACTGCCGCGAAGAGCTATGTTTTGCAGTTTGGGAGTAGGTTGGAAGAAAGTTAGGGGCGGGCAGACCAAAACATGGCAGAAATCCATGAAGTCACTGACAAGTGGACAGAGTGGTGTTGGTAGATGTAGACTACCTGGTTGGGGTCCGCGAGACGAATGTCATCAATGGTTAGAGACCTTGAATGACATGGCTCAAAATCGTTCGCAATGGCGCCAGTGCATTCATTCTTTGTGTTCTCTCAAATCCTAATCTTCTGTATTCTTCAACCCCTCTAGTTTTGAATTTTTAAACTTTTCTCACTGAATCACACTTCTTGGATAATATCTTCTAACCCTAACCTCTCGGATTACTTTTAATACCTTAACGACCTCTACTACCATTGGATTTGAATTGACAATTATATCTCTGTTCTGATGTGGTATGGCGACATGAACTGATGTACTTACGTACGAAGTTCTACGTTGCATCTGACTGACTGACTAATCTTCATACTATTCTCTTTAATTTATTTTTAATTCTTTGCATTATATTTTTAGACACAACAAAGTTTTTCTAGCAGATTAATTAATTCTCTCGGATTGAATACACGTCAGTTAAATGTTCGTATTCACTTTGGTAATGATGGAGATCGTGATACTACTACTACCATACAAGGTAACAATGATATGACTATCAATAATAGTGGTAAAAAAGTTGAAACATTTAAAAGTATTGTCAATGATGATTGTTTTGTTGATAATGTTAATACCACTACTACTACTACTACTACTACTACTACTACTACTACTACTACTACTACTACTTCTACTACAAGCTATCAATCATTGAATTCTACGGATGAATTTACTACACAACAACACTATCGTGATCGTAAACAGATTGAAATTCTGCAACAAAATCAAAAAATGCCACAAGTAAGTTTATTCTGTCATATATCCTTCCACCTAACTAAATTCTATTCAAACATGTCCAATAATGTATAAAGTCAACAACTACACTCTTCCAAAAAATTGTTGCTTAGTTTCGATGGTCGCGACACTATGAGCATTCATCAATTCTTTTTTGTCCAATTCTTCAAGAAAAATATTTTTTCACAGTATGGTAGTACCAGTTAGTTATAATTTAGGCAGGTGTGTACCGGTCGAAGTTGCATTACACTCTATATCACATCGATAAAAGGGATCGTTTAGATGTGACTTAGTCGAAAGTATTGGAAATTTAAATATACCAAATAGTTTAAAAAATATCAGTGCTAGGGCTTTAGAATATTAAAAAAATCGAATGTAATTACGTCACTGTGATAGATTTTACGCCGTATTATTCAGTATCTCGAACAATTAATTACTAGTGTTACATAGACCTTAACTAGAAAGTTTACTCCTTTTAATATAGATCACAAACTAACGGTCTATATGAATTCATGAACTGATGCTGTGGTTTGATGTGTTCACGGCCAGTGTTTTTATTATTGGCCATTATTTCTCGTTAATAGAAGACAGTATCAATCTGATTTAGTGAGCCAATCAGAAGTGTCCCATAAGACAATTGTATAGCATTGATCAAGAAATGAATTCACTTTCTACTGAGGTGGACCAGCATTTGTACATATGATTCGGTAGTCAAATAGAATTTCTCTAATACTTTAGGCTTTTCTGCTGATGTGGTATCGTAACTTGAACTGATCTACTTACGTACGAAGTTCTGCGTTGTATCTGTCTTTGACTTCTCTCTCAACTAGATAGTTTGAAGGGTTAGCACGTATCTCTATCAGATCTCGCATGCTAAACATCATAACAGTATCAATCGTTTCTAAATCTTCAGAGAAGTATCTGGATTCGCTTTTATTCATTATCGACCTTTTGTTTTGTTTTTATGGGTTTTCCACCACTTTATTTATCAACTATTTCCGACAATTCTTATCTGCATACACGACCATGAAACACTTAGCCTCGTAAAACTGTACTTTAAAATAAATATTTGAACTGTTTGTCAAATCAAACAGTAACCATTTCATGACTCACTCACTTACTCGCTTAGCTTTATCTAATTTAATTCTGAAAATCTGCACAATCTAATTTTCAGGTTTTTTTTACTATCTTTTTGAGATTTTCCGTCATCATGTAGACGTAAATATGGCATTGATATTGAAATTTGTAATTTAGTGTACAGTTTATTATTCAGTATCTGCTGGGGATGTTAGATCAGCAGAACTCACTTGGGAAAGGTTCAAATTCTGTGATTTTGTTTTGAAATTTTGAATTGTCATTTTTTCGCGCCCAGAGACGCTTAGTTGACCTATAGCTTACGTTTCCCACTTGGAAAATCCTTGACTGTCATTGGTTGATGAATTATTTTAGTACGCTATTTTTGTGGTTCTCCCAAGGATATTTCTATCATCTATAAATAAGCTCGATTTGTGTGCTTGTAAAACCTCGTATTTTCTGGGTGCTTGTACACTTTCCACACCTTATCAAGACTTCTTAATTTGGTTAGCCAAATGGATTAGAATAGCCTATCGTATCATTGCTTTCTTCCGTTTACCGAGTAAGGTAAACTCGAAATCACATTCAAGCATCAGTCAGTCAGATGCAACGTAGAACCTCGTACGTAAGTACATCAGTTCATGTCGCCATACCACATCAGCACAGAGAAGTAATTGTCAATTCAAATCCAATAGTAGTAGAGGTAGCAAGGGAATTAGAAGTAATCGGAGAGATTAGGGTTAGAAGATACTATTCAAGAAGTATGATTCAGTGAAAAAAGTTTAGAGAGTCGAAACTAGAGGTGTTGAAGAATCCAGAAGATTAGGATTTGAGAGAACACAAAGAATAAATGCACCGGCGCCATTGCGAACGATTTTGAGCCATGTCTCTAACCATCGATTATTATCATCTCACGGACCCCAACCAGGTAGTCGACAACTACCGACATGGCTAAGTCCACTTGTCAATGACTTCATGGATTTCTGCCATGTTTTTTATTTGGCCGCCCCTAACTTTCTTCCAACCTATTCCTACACTACAAAACAAATTTCGACGAGGCAGTCGGTGGTTGGGCATACGCAAGACATGTCCCAACCACCTCAACTGATGAAGTTTCACTACTTCATCTATTGATCTGCCATCCTCACCTAGTACTCGTTTCCTAACGACAACATATCAACATCTAATTAGACAACTATATGATAATAATTCAAATGGATTAATTGCTCCTAATTCCGTATTGATATTATGTGACTACACTACAATTCGGAAATTCTCCCCGTGAAACAAGTCAACTCTTATTCAAAAATCCTCATTTTATTATACTCATTGTTACACAACCGATTATTTGTGTGTGTATATCATCAAGGATGTAGATGAAAATTTCAACTGTCCAAACAGATAGTACTTTTCATTCTCCAAAAAATAATTCCTCCAATAATCTCTCATGTGTTAATGATGGTGTTATTAATAATTTTAGTGATGAGAAGAAAATTCTTCAATTAAAATCTAACAACTGTTTCATAGTTTCCCATTAATAACAGCCTACTTGACTTTAAACTGTCTACTTCTTAACAAGTTTGTTGAAACTTTCACTACAGAAAAGGAAAACTTTCCTAAAAGGAAAGTTAACCAATCAGAACAATAATATTACTTGGAATTGATGAGTTGCATTTCACTCCATCCATATTGGTCTCGTTTTATGCACTGCAACACCTAACCCTGTTAATCAATCGGATCTTATGACGTTATGGTATAGTATTGGAAAATAAAATTTTGCTATTGAAACGTTTACTCAAATCAAAAATTTCGATTGTGTTCTCAGTTTATAGTGAACATTTCTGTGAATAGACCAGGTGTTGAGTGTGGGTAATCGTTAGTTATTCATGATATATATATATTCTTACTGTTAAATAATCTCTCCCATAGTTCCACTACTCTTCTAAACAACCAAATTATTCCAGCTCTAGACACAAGACAAATTACTGGCTAATTCTTTTTTTTCTTTCCTTTGACTGGAAAAATAATTTATATTAGTATTATGATGAATAATATAATGTTGCTTCTCCTACTCTTTTCTTTCATTTTCCAGATTTTACTTGTATTCATTCCTCATCTTAATTCACCTGGATTACAATTGGGTTTTACAAATTCTCTTGTGAATCTTCAATTTGATTTTCATGAATTGAATATGAAAAGTTAGTTAATTTTAGTTTATCTGATAAAAATGTAAAATGAAACTACTCTGTTAATTATTCGTGTTTTTCATGGATTTTAAATTTCTAATTGATTTTAATTAGAACAATATATAAGAAGTGACCGTTTCGTTCTAGTGGTGAGATGAGTTCGCACGGTGCATCAAACTTAGGACCCTTAACATCACACACACACACTAACGCTTAACCTCTTAATCACACTGAGTCTGTATGTCGAGTAAAACACCAACACAGACAATAGGAGATGGTGGTGAATTGATTTGAATTAGTCATAACCGCACTATTGGATACCGGCTCACTGGTCTAAAGGATCAACGTTCACACTGCGATCAGTTGGTAATTTAAAATCTATGGAAATTCTATAGACAGACAGACAAGATACAACGCACAACTACGTACGTAAGTACATCAGTTCAGGTTGCCATGCCCCATCAGCATCGAGACGCAGCTGTCAGTTCAAATCCAAGAGTGATAGCAATAATAGAAGTATTAGCAGTAATGGAGAAGATTAGGGAGCGAAGATATGATTCGAGAAGTATAATTCAGTGAGATAAATTTAGAAGGAGAAAGGTAGAGATTATGAGGAATGGAGAAGCTTGAAAGATTTGATGCACCTGCGCCATTGCAAACGATTCTGAGCCATGTCATTCAAGGTCTCTAACCATCGGTGACTATCGTCTCGCGGACCCCAACCACGTAGCCTACATCTACCAACATGACTCAGTCCATATGTCAGTGACTTCATGAATTTCTGCCATGTTTTAGTTTGGCCGCCTCTAACTTTCTTCCAATCTACTCCTACACTGCAAAACATAGCTCTTCGCGGCAGTCGGTGGTTAGGCATACGTAACACATGTCCCAACCACCTCAACTGATGAATTTTCACTACTTCATCTATTGGTTTACTGTCCCTACCTAGAACTCGTTTCCTAACGACAGCATTGCTTATACGCTTGTCCTACGATACACGAGCAATGCTTCGGAGAGATCGAGATCGAAGACTAGTAACCTACGAATGTCCTCTACTCTTAACGGCCAAGTCTCTCATCCGTACAGTAGGACGGAGCGAAGTGCTGCACAGTATACTCGTCCTTTATTCAGCAAACGGATATCTCGCCTGCGCTATAGGTGACGCAGGTTGGCAAAAGCCAATCGAGCCTTCTGTATCCGAGCTGAGATTTCGTCAGTCACCAGGCAATCAGCACCGATGAGACTACCAAGATAAGTGAAGTGGTCTACATATGGAAATTCTATGATCTCTACATAGCTATCTACTGTTAATTATTCACTTATGATTAGCTTTTAAGCTGCATTCATGTGTACTTCACTGGGTTATCATGATTAGTACAGGACTGTTCTGTTGTTATGTTTGAATTTTCATCAGATGTCTATACTACGCAGTAACTATCTATGACATGTTGGAGGAGTTGTGTATATTCACATCTTTTGACGATTGTAATCTGTGATGGCCATTTCACACCAGTTGACGGAAATTATGACATGGATATTTTTCATAACTTCGTATGATATCTTTTGACATGACTCATTCACATTACATAATATCAGACGTTGAAATAAGAGTTCTTTTAGAATTCATACAAATACATACATAATGTATTCGTATGAAAGTAGACAACTGTGCAGTCGAATAGAGTTACATGTTCAGCACCACATTGTTCGATTTAAGTGTGTCCCAGTTTGTATAGTTTTATATTTTTTACAATAAGTAGTGTGTTATCCATCGATGAAAATGTAGGTGAATTTGAATAAGTACCATTTGGTTAATGCAGTTAGAAGTACATAGATAAAGGTCAATTCGTCATAATATGTACAAAACACTGAACAGAATTACAATTGACTTACTAATTGATTGTGTTTGTTCACAAACAGGAGTGATTCACAGTGATAAGTACTGCTAAAAATTCATGAACAATAAATAAGGTACTTAAATTGTTCGTCTGTAAGCAACTATAACTTCAGGCGTTCACATTCTTTCTGTTAAGGATGTGTTGCATAGAAATGATAAAGTCATCAGTCTTTTTGCTTTGCCAACTTCATGCATTAGTATAGTTTAATAAATTGTCAGGATTGGTCTGTAAATATCTCAGACCTCATGACTTCACTATGCCTTTAAATTTACGATCATCATATAGTTTGCATATTTTCCATATTTTACGGTAACAAATTTATGTCACAATTTTTCCCCCACCGCAGCTGCTACCTTTGCTTTGGTGGTCGGGCTTGCCTATCGTGATGATCCAACTGAGCTATATCGGCTGGAAAATATGTTCCTGAAGGTTCTATCATGCCAGGCTGGTCGATTGGAGAACGATGAGACTAAAAGCAGCTATTCAAGGTCTGAGAGCGAAGTCGTACTGTTGAATGTAGAGCGGGGTTAGAGCAGTAGGTTATTACCCTCGGACATCCAGCATGTGCAGCCATGCTGCCTTCTAACAAGGAAGGAAATGTTAGAAAATGTCGACCCAAAAAATGTCACACCTCACCCTACCTCACGGATTTCCGTCTCCGGCGGTAAGGAGCTGCCCACTAAGGGCTTTTATGAGCGGAGCTAATACTCAAAAATCCTTTCATAAAAAGGCCGTGCGTGACGGGCCTCAAGCAGTTGTCCCTTTGGGTCTGCGGTCACGCACCGAGGTCTCCAAGACCTACACTAATCTATCTTCCTTTTCAGGTGCCTCAAGAAACAGCCTTCCACGGTGTGGGCAGCCGGAAAGTAACATCCACCCTCATACCCCTTAAAAAGCACAATTGTTTCATATTTTATGCGCTTTGCTATTAGAAAGATTCAAAACTGAATCATTCTTTAAAATGTTTAAATTAACAATTCACACATATTTGGCTGTCAATGAAATTCGCTATTCCTATTTAAAGACTCATCCTTTGGATGTGACTATTACATCTCAATAATTAATGTCTATCATTAAGACTTATTCCAAAGTATTGTTTGCTTCAAACACTAGTTCTTCTATTGTAATTTTTTTTATTCTTAAATATTACATCACTTCAAAATCTTATCTGTATCATATTTTTTTTGTCTCTCTATTATACAGAATCATTTGATTTGTTGAATTTCACCGATTTCAATTTAACACTATCAAATTTTCATGTATGTTTATTGGATAAAATTATTGAATCTATTCTCAATGGAGCATACAGTTCACAGGTCTCATTATCTTATTCATATAATCTTTGTTCATTTCGTTCTGATCAATTTAATCTAATTGATTCATTGCTACATCGTTTACCAATGTTAAATCATCATCATTGGAATGATTTATTATATGTGAATGCAATTGAAATTTGGGTAAGTCTACGTATGTTATATTAACTGACTAATTGAATAAAGTAAATTAATATCAGGTTTTATTCATGGTTAAATTTTAGCGGTTAGGTCAATTTGCCTTAGATTTATTAATCATTTATGAATATCATAAGTCTTTTCATAAAATGTAACTCAAAACAAGTGGGTTATATGTATGCGTTAGTCAGTGATAATGTAAAGATGATATCAGCTCAATGAGATGAAGTTGTTAAGGTAGATGAACAGTGAAGTAGTCGAAATACCAAAAGTGTACATGATTGTAAGAATATTGGTCAAATAAAATTATTAAGAAGAAAAGATGGTTAAGGAGGGATGTCTGTTTAGTAGAAGAACCTAACCAGGTATTCTCCCGACCGTAGATGTTACCTTGACGTGGTAGTGATAATCTAACCGAGCTATATTGGCTGGAACACATGTTCCTGTAGTTTCTAACATGCCAAGCAGGTCGATTCAAAAATGATGAGACTAAAAGCAGCTACTCAAGGTCTGAGGGCGAAGTCATACTGCTGACTGTAGAGGGATGTGACAGCAGTAAGGTGTTTCCCTCAGACAGCCAGCATGTGCACAAAGAAGGAAGGGATAAAAGAAAAGATAGACCCTAAAAATGCCACATCTCACCTTGTCTCATGGATTTCCGTCTCCGGCGATAATTGCTTTTAAAAGGAACAGAGCTAACACCTCAAAAACGTCTCATCAAAAGCCCATGCGTGACTGGCCTCAAGCAGTTGTCCCTTGGACTCTGCGGTCATGCACCCAGGTCTCTAAAACCAACCTTAATCTACCTCCCTTTTTAGGTTCCTCAAAAAACACCCTTCCAAAGTGTGGACAGCCGTGAAGTGACAATCGCCCTCATACCCGTAACGGCACACGAGACCAAATTGGTCACATTCAAACCGGGTATTCTCTATTAACCGACATGTAAAAAAATACGCATATTGATAATATCTATTTATCTATCTATCTGTAAGTAGTTTTCAAAAGTTACAACTTTTAAAAAAGATGCAGTGCTTTTATACCAACTACACATTGAGTATGAACGCGATAAATTGTCTACACTATGTCTACTCTCTCTCTTCCTACTTTAGAATCATAAATATCAAATTGGTTTCAAATTCACCACATTACAAATAGAATGGCCATCATTTAAGATGAATGAATTAGTTAATTCTATGCAATGGTATTGTTCACATGAGAATAATGCTCATTCGTCGTGTAACAGTAAACATCATGCCAATTTATCGTCGACCAATCGTTCATCTTTTTTAAGTCAATGTTATTCAACAGAGAATTATTTGAATAATTCTATTCAGTTTGATGGAAGTGTAGAAAATATCAACATTTTTTTAATCAATGATAATAATTGTAAGTTTTCCTCTTTTTTTTCTTTTAACTCAATCTACTATTCTCATCGTCATACTGTAGTCGTTTTGTTCCTGAGTTGTGATTGTAGTTGGACAGATTGTTATGAAAAAATTTAACTAGAATTATATAGTTATTGCTTGCTTCTTTGTATTCAGTAATTGTTGTGGATGTCCACTGCTCATGGAGTCCCATACTATGACGAACTGGTCGTCCAGTGCTTTCAGGTTTTTGCAATGTTGGTCTAACAATGATCGATTCGTGATTTCGATGAAACTCAATAGTCTCCATAATCTGGATTAAAACCAATCTGTAAATCATTCATCTTATTGTTCAGTGTCCATACAGTAGAACTGTCTTGACATTTGTATTGAGAATGCTGATTTTGGTTTTGGTTGAAAGTTGTTTTGAGTTCCAGATATTTTTCAATTGTAGAAATGTAGCCCTTGCTTTGTTAATCCGTGCCCTCACATCTGCATCGAATCTAGATTGTCGATGATGCTACCCAGATATGTAAAGGTGTTAACGTCCCCCAAGACATCTCCATCAAGAGTGATTTGATTGTTGCATGTTGTGTTTCATCGGAGAATTTCGCTTTTTCCTTCAGGTATGTTGAGACCTGCTGCTGCTGCTGCTGCTGCAGAGGCTGCTGCTACACTGGTCGTCTTCTCTTGCATTTGATGTTGCGTGTGCGATAGAAGAGCCAGGTCATCTGCGAAGTCCAGATCGTCCAGCTGCGTCCTAACTGTCCAGTTAATACCGTGCTTCACTCCAGATGTTGACGTCTTCATAATCCAGTCGATGATCAGGAGAAAGAGAAAGGGTGAGAGTAAGCAACCTTGCCTGACACCGGTCTTCACCTCGAAACAGTCTGTTAGACTAGTAACATGAAGATTTAGTTAATTTACCGAAAATAATAATCAGCGTCCAACAGAAACTTAGTAGACGATTCAACAAAACTATGGATTATGTTGTATTCCGATCTGATAATTGCCGATTTTAATATAACTTTTGACATGTTTTTAAAAGCCTATAGGTTGTTAAGTTTATACATAATTGTATAAACGTCCTCGTTTTCTGCACTTAACACTAACTTTGTCAATAAAGCTTCTTTTCATATTTCTCACTCCTTTATTCTGCTTGTGACTTAGATGTTGCCATTCAGTTAGAAGCAACAGAGAACCTAGTACGTTTTTGAAATGATTCAAGTTTTCACATCGCCTTAGCAGTGTGATATAAAATTATCTAGGTGAATGCCAATCTAGAAAAGCTAGTAACAGTATCATTGATAGTAAAAACGATTTTTGCGGACTTGATTACGATAAGAGATGTATCAGTGTACCAAAGGTTTTTTTCGACCATTCAGTAACGCATACATTGATTTATATCGTTTTACCGTTGACTTCTTATTCTTGACAATTATTATGCATATTTGAGTAGACAACAATTCAGTATGCTTTAAATATTATATCTTGATGAATTAATTTTCTTAGATTAGCAATTCTACCGCTATACTCATCTTGAATTTCTCTTTAGTCTTGATGGTCTGGTGTTTAACTAAATCTCAGCTTGGTTGCGGAACTCTGAATCGGCTTTTGACAACTTACGTCACTTACGGTATAAGTTAGATAACCGTCTACCGACCGAATGACGGGTTTACTGAGAAGCCGTTTGTTTGGTTTTGCTTTATGGTTGCGAAAGATGGCCACTAAGAAGCGAGGATATTCGTAGGTTCTTTGTATTCGATCATACTCGTCTCAGAAGCAGTGCTTGCGTATTCTGGGACCACCCACTAAGCAATGCTGGAGTTAGAAAAAGGTTACTAGGCATAGATGGCAAATTAATTGATGAAGTAGTAAATCTTCATCAGTTGAAGCTGTTGGGATGTGTTACGTATACCCAACCACCGACTGCCTCAGTGAGCGATGTTGTCTGATTTAAGGGTAGGCTGGAAAAAATATATAGGGGCCCTCAAACCAAAGCGTGACATCAGTCCATGGAGTAATTGACGGTTGGACTGAGCAAAGTTATTAGTTACCTGATTGGAGCCAGTGTGATAATCTTAACTGGCGGTTAGAGACTTTGAATAATGACACGGCTCAAAATCTTTTACGATGTCATAAGTGCACCTATTCTTTGTCTTCGCCGAAATTACAAACTTCCTAATTCTCCAATTTATATATTCTTGAATCGTGTCTTCGATGCTTAATCTTTTCAAGTACCACTGATTCAATAACCATCTCTACTACTGTGTTCTGATAATTTCATCTATTTGTGCTAGTGGGGAACAGCAACTCGAACTGATGTACGTACCTGCCAAACTGTACATTGCGACTGAGTAACTGACAATTTCTTAAGTAAACCGTGCTATCGGCTTGTGTTAAAAATTGTATGATCATAATCAACATCTTTAACTAAAGCATCCTATTGGGCGTATGTTGCTCTTCAAATGCCTAAACCATGATTAACATCACATAGTGTTTTGATCGGGTTTTTTATCGTCTCAACAATCTTGTTTAACATGCTCAATAAAATGAAATACATTGCTTTATTGTTTAATTGAATAATTATTCCTCTTCCATATGAGCAGCTCTCAAATTTCAATAGGAAATCTTATCAAGTTTAACATAAATCCCTTTATATATATATATATGTTTGCAGATAAGTGTGTTACTAAATAAAGTGCTTGATTTTCAACCAGCTAAATCACACATTCAGAAACCCATCGCCTATTTTTCTTCAAGTTATATTTTGGTTTAAGAAGATGACTTTTGTTTCTGTTTTCCTCACATGTACATACAATTATGAACTTGATAATAATGCCATGCATAAAACCTTACTACTACAATTTCCTTGGTATTTTTTCTTTTTCTCTTCCCATGTGTAGCATTTCTTATGTTACGTGTTGATAGTCAACGTTTCACTTCACAATTTCATCCAATTAATCCAATGTCACAATCATTGAAATTCAATAGTTTATCACAGATCACTTCAATTGGAATGAAATTAATTTACAGTTATAAAACATTCGATAATAAACTAGATAATTTATCTTGCTCATCATCAACGTCATCACCATCATCATCAACTGTCTCATCACCAAATCATTATGCAACAGTATCTAGTTGTCAGATAAAAAATGATCTGGTTTTATCATTACCTGAAATTCATATTGATATTAAATTGCCTGATCGAGTGAGTTTGTTTATTTTGGTCTGTTTTAGTTTTTCTTCCTGTTATGCGCGTCAATTGATATGCTTGAAACTATTACGAGTTCACGTTAGTCGGTAAACGAGAGTGAAGACAAAATAATCCAGTGACACGATAGGCTACTCTAATCCAAGCATCCCAAGGTCCCACTAAGTAGAGGAAGAAGTCTTGATCATGCGTGGAAAGTGCATTCTACATGTACCCAGAAAATATGATGTTCATAAGCTTACAAATCGAGTTTATTTATACATCATAGAAATATCCTTGGTAGAGCCACAGAAATAGCGTACTAAAATAATAATTCATCAGCCAATGACAGTCAAGGGTTTCCCGGGTTGGAAATGTAACCTCAAAGTCAACTAATCAGCGCATCAATAAAATCCAAAATCAGGACCTTTATCAAGTGAGTTCTGGGGATCCAACGTCCTCAGTCAACACTTCCAACTATGGATTGTTTAAATTCTCATTAAGAAGAAATAGTTTGCCTCGTCTTTCGGTTGATATGTAAGAGTGAGTTTTGATCATTCTTAGAGTTGCTTGATTTACATACATCATGTGTGAATAGCTTTGTTTATTTTCTAATTTTATAGTTTATATTTGTTGCTAAAAGCCACTGAGCTCGCTTCTCAGTTTGAATATCCCTACTGGTATGAACCACAATGAACTACAAATAAGATGGAAAAAAAATTCGTCCTATAGTCCATCGTGAATCACACTATTTATTCACTGGTCGTTGTCTTTTTTTCATATGTGAACTGTAATAATAAAACACTTAAAGAAGGCGCTAAAATTTTCGGAGTATTTTCGGTAAACGAAGATACATGTGACCTTAATCACTCATTTGTTTTTCGAATAAGTTAGGTCAAGAAGGGAAAATCTCTTAGTTGGAACTTGTAAATAGTAGTTCTACTTCATAATTACTGATATCGATTGATATTTCCCTTTAAATTTGCAGTTTATGACAGTCTTAGCTAAACTACTCTTGAAATCTTGAAGAAATGCACAGTTGTTTCCTCCTTTCATTAGATTCCTCAACATATCTTAGCGCAAACTGAACTCAAGCACTACAAGTTCTATATGATGTGTTTTTTATCTTTTCATTTTATTTCATAATCTGAATGTTTATATGATCGATCTTGGGTTGGGTTGTAATTGGATACTGTTAAACAAATTTAGCTATTGTGCAAAGATGGACATTTGGTTACGACAAATCTAAAAAACTAATTTTATATGTAAACTTAGATTTACAAACACACACACACACACTCTTTTAACTGTTTGTAGTTTTTCGTTTGATCTAGTACCTTGACGATCCATGCATAACACATGACCTAATTATTACGAGTCAACTATCCATAGGTCATATTGTTTAATGTTCCTGTAGGTAATGTTTCAATTGTCTTATTATTATCATAATTGTTATTTTAAAACTAAACTATGCATTTCGTGTTGATTTTCTTGTATTTTCATTAATGTGTTGTCAGTCTATTGAAATTTCACAAAATGATCAATCCGGTGAATTTATTTGGTCATTAGGATTTCATTTATGCTGTTACAATTTATTGGAATCATGGAAACAACTTCATAAAAAATTATCAACATGTTTTACTGTTATAGTAAGTTTTTTTAGATAATTTTGATTCATTTTTGATAATTTGAATGTTGTTTTTTTAATGATTTTAGTAATGTAATTGAAAGAAATTCTATATAGACTATTGAGAAATGCCATTTATACTAAGATGGAATAATCTTTCAGTGCTTCCAGTGCTTCCCAATACTGATCTAACGCAAATAGTTCATGGTTTCACAAATGCCACAAGACACTCTACTGATATTATGATCATGGTTAATTAACAATTAACCAATGGAAATATGATTATCATAAGCAAAATATCACAGAAGTGTCGTTGGGCAGTGATGTATGTGTGACATGAATAGACAAAATTACACCACCATTAGAAACCTGAAAGCACTGGATGGCCGTTTCGTCCTGGTATGGGACTCATCAGCGCATCCACGGCTCCTGGACCTCACAGGATTCGAGCCCAGAACCTCCGGTCTTGCGCGCGAATGCCCAGCCTCCGGACCACTGAGCCGGTATCTAACTGTGTCAGTGTCTAACTTCGATTAATTCACGGAGTTGTGCAACCCCATACACTGTCTTCGGTAGTTACTGTCTACATCCGAACAGGTTGAACTCCACCGGTCACAACTACCCACTAGAACTCGAAGGAGATACCGACTCAGTGGTTTGGAGGTTACACGTTCGCGCGCAAGATCGAAGGTCCTAGGTTCAAATCCTTTGAGGTGCAGGAGTCGTGGATGCGCACTGTTGATGAGTCCCATACCAGGACGAAACGGCCATCAAGTGCTTCCAGGTTTCTAATGGTGGTGTAACTTTGATCGATTCATGATTTAAAATGTGTAACTTTAAAATCTTCACAACGCCGTAACATATATATATATATATATATATATATATATATATATATATATAATATTTGTACACCTGTCGAATTTATGATAATAACCTGCCGATGGCTGTGAATGTAGAGTGTTATTTACGATCATTATATGTACATATTCTTATCCTCAACCATTTATTAGTTGTATCTTTTATTCTATTATAGTCAATAAATGATTCGTCAAATAGAATTGATTCACTGTCAACATCTACTATTAACAATCATACATATACTACTAATACTTCTACTACTAATCATACTACTGAACTAAATGGCAACAATGATTGGCATTTAAGCATCAAACCAGTTCAATCATACTTTCAATTCTATTTTAAATTGTTAACAAGTAAACATTTTATTATAGTACGTTTACAAAATACTTCATTTCAATATACTGTCAAGTCAGCAAATACTACTGACAATAACATGAACAATGGTATAAGTAGTAGTAGTAATAATAATAATAATAATGGCAACCAATCTGAAGGATTTTTTACATCTACTAATCATAATCTCAATGATAGTGATGATTATACTGATCAAAATGTAGGAAAAATTGTTGCTAGTCGTTTAAAGATAAATTGTGAACATGCAGTGATTTTATGTGATGATCAAACAATTGCTGTTTTTCAGGTAAATAATGTATTTTTTTTGTCAAAATATTTCATACACATTATGATTGATTTTATTTGAGTGTATTTCATTGGTATGTGATAGGTGAATGTCAAATGTCTATTGCAAGTCTGACATAATTATCCTGATAACTTTAGGAACTAACTGCACATGGATTGGCTTAGCTCCTAGTCTCGATTAGATGCACCGAAATAGAGTTTATTGTTTTCACTTGTCCTATTGATTACCTATCAGAAGTGATGCTTCTAACTCCGATAACGGCCTATTACCTTGTGGTGCGCGCTACTTATAAGTAGTGTATGACGCGAGTGTAAACGTAATGTCTGGCAGCAGAAGATGGGGGAAGATCAAGAAAGGAAGAGTGGGAACACAATGGAATTTGTATGAAACGCATGAATAGTGAAATGTCAGACAATTGATTGAAGATTTGCAAATTAACGGTTACGATATGGTTTTCCTATTTTACTGAGTAACTCTGTAATTTTCGTTAAATACAATTCGGTTGCCCTCACCTGTGTTCTCCTTCACTACAACCTCAGTTGTACACTGAATGTAGGCATTTAGCTTTGATGTGTCTCTATCAGAAAGATGTCCACTTATCACCAACAGTCAGTCAACGTAGAACTTCGTACGCACGTGCATCAGTTCAAGTTGCCATACCAAATTAGCACAGAGATATAATTGTCAATGCAAATCCCATAATAGTAGAGGTAGCTTAAGTATTGGCAGAGTAATCGGAGAGATGAGGGTTTGAAAATATTCAAAAAGTATAATCTAGTGAAATGAACTTAAAAAACGGAAGATAAAGATAACGAAGAATTCATAAGGTTAAAATTTGAGCGAACACAAGGAATGAATGCACCTGCGCTACTGCAAACGGTTTTGAGCCATGTCATTAAGGGTCTCTCACCATCGATTACTATCATCTCGCGGGCCCCTAACTAGTTAGTCGAAACCTACCAACGTGACTCAGTCCACTAGTCAGTGACTTCATGGATCTGTGTCATGTTTTGGTGTGGCTGCCCCTAGGCTTCTTCCAACTTACTCCTAAACCAAAAACGTGACTTGTCGACGCAGTCGGTGGTTAGGCATACGTAACACATGTCCAAAACACCTCAATTGCTTACTTGGTAGTCCCGATATAAACGAGCTATGCTTTGTAGATATCTACGATTATCTTCTACTCTGACTGGCCATGATTTATGCTGCGTAGTACACTCGTCCTTTGGTTACCAGATGGATATCTCACCTACGCCATAAGTAATGCAACTTGGCAAAAGCCAATCGAGCCTTCTTTATCTGTGCTGGAATTGCACCCAGTCACTAGGTCATCAGCACTGATAAGACTCTTCAGTTAAGTGGGGCGGTCTACACACTCGACTACTTCACTCCCTATCACTAGTTCAGGTACCGATGAAACACACTCTTGAAGCAACATTATGCATTTCGATCAGGCCTAAGTAGACGGTTTTCTGTCGACTACCGCCAAAGTGATTTGCGTTATGGCTACATTATAACTTATGCTTAAATTTTAAACTTGATTAATAGAATTTGTTATTAGAAATAGATTAATAATGTAATACATTTCACCAACTATCTGTCTTTATACTATTTGTGTAAATACCATTGATACTACTCATTATGCAGCTACGTTCAATTTTTGTTAGAACTTAAAAGTTCAAGGTCAATTAGTTTAATTGGAAGCTGGCAAACAAAAGGTATTTTTTGTAAATTTTTTGATTTATTCAACTCTCCTTAAGTTCAATTTGTACTTTTCTATTTAGAATTTAAAAATACGTCAAAGACCAACAAATATTCAACATCGTACAGAACATTTAAAAATGGGTTTACTCACTCGAGCTAACCGCTCTTGGTAAGTTCATATATATATATATATATATATATATATATATATATATATATATATATATTAAGAAATAGATATATCAACGAAGAATATTATTTCAAATCAATTCTCTTCAGTTTCTACAATTTTTTTTTATCTAAATTAATAATCTGCATTACGGGTTTGTGAAGATTGTCAAGTTACACATTTTTGAAACCCATGAATCGATCAATGTTAGACCACGCTTAGAAACCTGGAAGCACTGGATGGCCGTTTGGTCCTGGTATGGGACTCCTCAGCCCATGCGCATCCACGACTCCTGCACCCCACAGGATTCGAACCCAGGACCTTCGGTATTGTGCGCGAACGCCTAACCATCGGACCAGTGAGCCGGTACCTAACGGTGTTAATGTCTAACTTGATCAAGTTCACGGCGTTAAATTAATAATCCACAAAATAAACAATGTTCATGTGGAAGGCAAAATACATTGTTTAAAATTATAACATGTAGTAATTCAAGATTGTTTGTAAAATTGTTAATGTTGAAATGATGATGAATATACAGTGTCAATTTGAATAAGTTTTTACATTCAATAAAACTGTAAGATTAATAATGAGAATGAAGATGACTAATATAAGTAATAGAATCAAAAAGGGCAATAAATGATTGCGTAATGCATGGAAGAATATGAATCGGGTAAACTAAACTAGTGATAAGGAGTAAAGTAGTTGAACGTGTTGACCGCTTCACGTATCTTTGGAGTCTCATCAATCCTGATAGCCTAGTGTCTGACGAAATCTCGGCACGGATACAGAAAGCTCGATTGGCTTTTGCCAACTCGCGTCTCTTATGGCGTAGGCGAGATATCCGACCACTAAATTTACGGGTATGAAACCTGGCCAATAAGAATAGAGCATATTCGTAGGTTACTAGCATTTGGTCATCGCTGTCTTCGAATCATCACTCCCGGAACCAGCGAGTAAGCGATGTTGTTGTAAGGGATCGGGTACTCGGTAAGGATGGCAGATTAGTAGATGAAGGATTGGAACTTCATCAGTTGAGGTGGTTGGGCCATGTGCTTCGTATTCCTGACCACGGACTGCCTCTACAAGTTATGTTTTGTTGTGTGTAGAGCTAGGCAAGAAGAAATCTAGGGGCGACCGAACCAAAACATGGCACAAGCCCATGAAGTCACTGATAAGTGGATTGAGTCATGTTGATAAATGTAGACTACCCGGTTGGGGTCCGCGAGACAATCCTAACCAGTCGTTACACACTTTGAATGACAGCTTAAAATCATTTTCCATGGTGCATGTGCATTCCTTTCTCTGTGTCCTCTCAAATCCTAAACTTATGAATTCTTCATAACCGTTTTTTCTCGTTTTAAAATTGTCTCACTGGACTATACTTTTCGAATCATATCTAAAATTATTAACTGTCTTATTTATTTCCAGATATTGCTTTGTTTGGTTTTCTTTTTTCCACAGGGAATTTTATATGGATCTATTGTATGTTACATTTCCTTATCGATATATATTTCGTGATATTTATCATGAGGTTGGTTAGTTGATTGATTTGCTTAATATTATGTTTATTAATTGTACAGGTTTGTATTTCCCTGTTGCTGTTGACTTCAGGTGCTACTATCATTTCATATTAACCTGAGTGTATATATCAAAAGGTTGGATGGCGCTCCATAACAATTAATCAGAAAGGAGAGCCGTGGATGTAGTTGGTTGGCGATTCCCGGTCCTTCATCTAATACCGATGTGTAGTAACTGGCACAAGTATTTAAGTAATAAAGATATTGTCTCAATACTACAATGTAGTCGTAAGCATTTTTATTAAAATTAGGATGTGCCTAGCAGTCAAGTTGTGTTCGGATCGTATAAGGTGACTGTCGTTTCATATTTTGTCATCGGTGCGCATACAGATATTCGAAACCCAAGTCAACTACTGTTCTTTTCAAATATCAACACATTATCCACCAAGCCCACTAGTTTACTGTACTCAATATATTAGTGGACAACTCATTTGGTATTTGAATCTCCTCATAATAAACTTATATACTGCTCACTGAGAGTCTATTCTAGAAAAGGAGGTAGTTCTTAAATGTCTATGTAATATGCCGACAATCTCGATTTCAGTATCAGTCAATCAATCCACAACTTCCTGTCACTCATTCATAGTTGTTTGCAACTCTGAACTGTTGTTTTTTTATTGAAAACCATACTGATATCGAATGAAATCAATGCTACGCACTTAGTGAATTGTAACCTATTCGATAACAGAAATTCATATATGTATTAGAACAGTTTAGCTATCGAAACTCTCTCACTTGATGTTATTGTGTTTTTATTCTCATTCTTTAATTATTAGAGATTCCCATTGTAAATTTCAAAACAACATATATATAAGCGAACAATAGTGTTGTTTTCAATCAGATCGTCAACAGTCTTTACTCTAATATACATGATTATATTTATGAAAATGTTTAACTCATCAAGGAAATTTATGAGTTAATAATCAAAATCAAGTAGATTACGTAGCTACACATAATAGGTAGAAGTACAAGTTGATAGTTGGAAGACAAGTGTACTGTTAAAATTATGTAATTAGAATTGAGTAAATAACCAGGTAGTGAAGAACATAAACAGAAAGAGGCGAAAAATGACCAACAAGTATATGATGTGAAAATAATTATAATAATAATGAAGTAAAATCATATATTAGATTATATCCGGCCAAGGAAGGGACAGTGGTGTATCGTAATTCTTCTAAACATATAAATTGAGGCGGAATGTTCGGATTCCTATGGCTTCGGTTAAACGGGATTGAACTCCGTTGGGGTATGGTGAAGGTATACGATAGATCACTCGAAATGATTCGATTTTATCTATACTCTAACCCCTATCAGTCAGGTGTGCCAAGATAGGGCTATGTATTGTTTTTATCTGGACCATTCCGAACAATGCTGGGAGGTGCTCACTCATTCTTCGGTTCATTTGCCTAGTCGTACGCCCAGTATAGCTATCTCCACAAAAGCAAATTGGGTTGACCAATTCAAGTAACTTATCCTTTGTTTGAGTTGACATCTTTGGTCGACTGGAAAATGTCACTGCAAGATTGACTGAGTCGAATGTCCTACTAATTGCCTTCTCTAATCTATCATGTAGGACACCTCTAGTCACGTCCTGGTTGAATTATAGTTCTAAGAATAGAGATTGCTTTCGAATGGTCAAAGTCAACAACTTGTTTTTTTCCGTATATATGTATTTGTTTGACAAATCCATTGACGCGGCCGATCTCGATCAGTAAGTTTTTAATGAATTCTAGCTCCTTTCTTAAGGTTTCTACTGAGCGTATTGTCTAACCAAATACCTTATGTAGCGTGGATAGGTTTAAAACTATAAACGTGTGTGTATTGGAAAACAGAGGGACTCTTTCTGTAAATAATTCTACTCAACGCACCATCACTCTGTCTACTTGGTGAAATGTCAAGGAAATTCAATTTTTTGTCACACTTGTCCACACCGATGATAGTGATTGTTGCGTGTACACTGTTGAACTGTTCTAGGAGTTCTTCTTTACTGGTATTCTGATCTACGATAAAAAAATTTGTCGTCGATGTAGCGACAGTATAGATCTAGTTTCTTAATAGCTTATTAAGGGATCCATTTTCTAACTTTCCTAGAAGTAAATTGGCTAAAACTGGGCCTAGAGGTGAGCCCATAGATATTTTGTTTATTTGTCTAGAATAAGCATTGTTGAAGACGTTCAGAACACAACTTTAGAGCAATCCTTTCAGAGAAGCTAGTGTTCCTTTGACTTTCTGATATTTACTCATATGTAAACTGAAGCGTCTCGACTAGTGCCGCGTAGGGTAATAATGCTACGACATCTGGTGAGATTATATTTTTCGTACTAACATTCATATTTTTCACTTTGAAAACGTTTTCGACACTCCGTCTCACGACTCTAAAATTCGCACTAGGCAGTTTGCAATTTTGTGATAAGGAGATTTGTACATATCTAAAACTGGCTTGCCTTCATTCCTCACAGTAGATCAAATTGTAATTGGGCAATTCTGTTAAATTATGCCTTAACAAGACTGGCCTTTATCAATATTGAAAAATTAGGCTACTCAAATCAAAATCAACCATTCATATCATAATCAAAGTTTAGTTGATGAAAAAAAATATTTGTAAAGACTTTTTTGTGCACATCACAACTACGGTTTAGTAATAATAATAATAATAACTCTAGCATTAGTTACTAATAGTAATCAGCTTTAATGAAATTAAAACTTTTTGTTTCTAAATGTTGTATCTTAGGCATCATCTATTAGGAAATTCTTACTCAAATTACATTCTGGCAATATAACATATCTTCAAACAAACAATCAATCAAGTCAATCAGCTTCATCTAATCAGAATATCACAATGTCACCAAATCAATGTTCCATTGATTCACCGAATAATTCCCCGCCTCTAGTCTCACCATCATTAACTGTTCCAATACATAATAGTACTCAATGCACAACATCATATCTAAAACAAGATCAAATTATTCACATTAAAGTAAGTGTCATTAAGTTTATATCAATATTTCATGTTTAATTAAAATTTTTATTTTATTTTATGCATTCTTAAACGAACGTTAATGAATCTATTTCAGTTTTTGTTAAAATGTACCTTGTGAGGTTATTCTTCAGCGCAAGTCTAATATAAATCATTTTAGGAGAGGGGAAGCGGCGTGAGTATACTGTTTACTGTGCATAAGAGAGAGGTGTTCGAAAAACTTTATAAATTAAACAAAGGAATGTTTAGTCGCCCATGATCTGACTCCTATTTAGATGAACGATCGGGTATTCTATGAAATAAATCTTTCCTTAAATTTCTGAATAACATGCTTAGGTGAACCATGTTTGTGCAACGACGGTAATAAGAAACCAAATACAGATTCAGTTAGATGAGTTTAGTTCATGCAGTCGTTCACGCCAATTATGTACACACTCGAATAAAAGCAGACAATGGTATGAGTGAATAATAGACTAGGACTAAAGACGTGGGAATGGATTAATAAATTTTTTTCAAAGTCTGGTAGTTGAAAGTGTCGACCGCTTCACTTATTTCGTGGGTCTCATCTGCGCTAAAGCCTGGCGTGTGGCTAAGTCTCATTACGGATACAGAAGGCTCAACTGGCTTTTGCCAACCTGCGTTCCTCATGGTGTAGGCGAAGTATCTGTTTGCTGACCAAAGGACGAGTGTGCTGCACAGTAGTTCTCTCCGTCCTACTATATAGTTATGAAACACGGCCAGTCAGAGTAGAACATATTCGTAGGTTACTTGTCTTCGATCATAGAAATCTCCAAAGCAAAGCTTGTTTATCTCGGGACTATCGAGTAAGCAATGCTGTGGTTAGGAAACGGATAGTAGATAAGAATAGTAGATCAATAGATGATGTACTGAATCTTCATCAGTAGATTTGTTTGGGACATGTGTTGTGTATGCCTAACCACCGACTACCTCGTCGAGCTATGTTTTACGGTGTAGGAATAGGCTGGAACGAAGATATGTTCGGCGGGACCCAAACATATCAGAAATCCATGAATTCACTGGGAAGTGGATTGAGTCATGTTGGTAGATGTAGACTACCTAAATGGGGTCCGCGAAATGATAGTAATCGATAGTTCATAACCGTTTGCATTGGCGCAGGTAGTTCCTTTCTTTATGTTCGCTCAAATCCTAATCTTCTGAATTCTTCATGACCGGTTTTTTCTATTTTTAACCTGATTTCACTGAAATAAACTTCTCGAATCATACCTTCGAACCCTAATCTTCTCTATTACTCCTCATGTTTCTATTACCTCTACTACTGTTGGATTCGAATTGACAATTGTGTGTCTGTACTAATGTGATATTGCAACTTGAACTGATGTACGTACGTACGAAGTTCTACGTTGTAACTGACTAATTAAAAACGAAACAGATCAGCCATTTAAATAAAATGTTATGAATCGTTACCGCCGCAGTACAACAACATGAAAATCCCGACATGTATTTTGACCATACACAATGAAGCATTTTACAAAACAACTAGCACTTTTTAATTGTTTAGTTTAAATTCTAAAATAGATCCGTTATTCATCTACACACTGAATTATACTTCTTCGAACCCTAATCTCTCCGATTACTGCTAATACTTCTACACTACCTCTACTACTATGGGATTTGAATTGACAATTATATCTCTGCTAATGTTGTATGGTAACCTGAACTGCTGTACTTACGTACGAAGTTCTACGCTACTGTTGATGATGATGATGGTGATACATAAAATTGCGTCTGCAGATCAGTTTGTGTTGATTGTGATGTTTTGTATATTGAAGAGTTTTCTGGTGAAATATTAATTTGTATCAATCAACAATTAAGGTTTATTTAAAAGAGCGTATCATCTCTTGCACTAGGAAGGTCTAGAAATCAATCATATTGGTTATAATGGTGCACGGTATCAAAATAATTGAGAGAGGTTTTCCCACCCAAAGAGAAAGATGAATAGCTGAAGCGTTTTTATGTAGAAAATAAGATCTGACTATTCGTCCAACCTGGACTTAAACCAAAATAGGCACATTCAACTATATTTTGGTGGTGTTTCGTTCTCTGAGCTGGTTGTTTTGGTTGTGGAGCTTTCATTGTTCTTCTTCTGAACAACATCATCAGCACAAACTTCAGATAGAACTATATTTATTTTCCACACAATCTACACACACACACACTCAGATTTCTAACTTTACTTTTTCATATTACGTATTGTACATTTTTCATGCCCACCATATTACTCACAGTAATTCCTCATACAAAATGACCTTGATCGAAAATTCACATGACATTGACACTATCAAACCTATTTAGATATTGATTTAGCCAAATAATTTGCTTTGTCTCTTTTTGAAACCATGAATCAATCAATGTTAGACCACCATTAGAAACCTGGAAGCACTGGACGGCCGTTTCGTCCTGGTATGGGACTCCTAGTTAAATTTGTGTTAAGTTAATTCGGTTATTTATTTATTGGTTGTATCCTAAAAACAATCAAGATTACAAGTGAATCAATGACAAGGTGGGTTGAACATTTCACTCAAACATAAACGCATCATACATTAGGCGCTAGTGTTTTTCATCCAATGTCCAACTGATTTTGAACTTATTGAATTTCAGTCCTCACCTAAAGATGCTTACAATTAATTTTGTTTCATTTGTTTGTTTTTTTCCTTTGAATAGAAATTTATCATTGAAATTAAAGATGATCCATTCGAATGTAAATTGAATGATATTCATACTGTAAGATTTTATTCATTTCTAATTATTATTATTTAATGCTAACAAATAAAATGGTTATGACTTTGTTGAGGATGTTAGATCCCCAAAATTCACTTGATAAATGCCTTATTTTGGTTTTTACGTTTGCGAGCATGGGCTGATCAGTTGACCTTGAGATTTCGATTCCCACCAGGGAAATCCATGGCTGTGATTGGCTGCTGTGTATTTTAGTGTGCTATTTTCTTAACTGTCTCAAGGACGTTTCTATGTTGTATAAATAAACGAGAGTTGTATGCATGATTGTGCTGTGCTTGCTGGGTGTTTGTAGAATATACTTTCTACGCTTACAAAGTCTTGTGTTACAGTCATCGGATCAGGGTAGCCTATCTGGACGCTGGTAATTGTCTCGTTCGCGTTTATCGACTAAGGTAAACACGTAATAGCTTCAAGCATACTTTGTGATGAACCCTACAGACTTTTAAATAGGCCGTCTTGTTGTATGAAGATGTGCCCACTTTATTCTGTTGCCGATTTTATACAACTAATCTATCTTTTACCTGTGCCTGTATGTAAACACATAATGTGTACCTAATTTTCTTCAGGTCAACTTCTTTTTGGTTTTGGAAATTTCCTATTTCGAAGTATAATTGAGTTTTATTTTGATGGTAATCATTAGAATTGAGTTTGACACAACCATTTAAAGTGTAATAATTTCGGTCAGGTGAATTATTTGCTGATTTACAACAACACATTGTTCACCTTGGCATCTATCACAAATCACACTGGATGATATGTTTTGACTGGTCAAATTCCTTAGGTTGATAGCATAGCTGTCAGTTAGCAGTTTATGAAGTGTTCATAGTCTATTGGAATAATGAATGAAAAGTAGAAATAATAAAGTAACCAAAGAATGTGAATCACTCTATTTTGAATCAGAAATCAATATGACAAGGATAGGCGGTTTATGGTCGAAACAAATTGTTTTTGATTACATAAAGATGTTAAACGAATCAAGGCAATTTGAGTCAATAATCAGAATGAAATCAAATATATTACGTCACTACACATATTAGGCAAAAGTACAAGTTGAAATTAGGAAGACAGGTGTGCTGATAGTAGTAAGAAAATTATAAAATACGATAACAAAGTCTTTTCAATAGTTCAATATTGGAGACAGTAGGTCAAACGTGGATAAATAGACTGAAAAATAATCATTACTTTTACTCATTATGTGTTGTGACGTAATCTATTTCATTTCATTGTGATTACTGACTCAAATCGCGTTGATCGGCTTAACATTTTCATATAAATATTCATGTATATTAGAGTAAAGCCTGATAACGATCTAATCGAAAACATTATTGTTCGCTTATGTATAGTTCAAATTTTCACAATGGGATTCTATAATATACATGAATATGGTTTGAACGTTTGCATAAATAGGGCTTCAAAAAAAACGCCACTACATGTGACCTAGATAACTTCCGTACAAAACTAGATCAACCTGATGAATTGTTTCAACTCTGTGTTGATCCGCAGAAGAAGATTGATTTTTGCGTCCTGTTGGTAATAAGATGTTCAGAGACCCTATCCTATGCATGTGTGACCTCACACACATACAGAATCTATAAACACAACGTGATGTATATGTCTCAATGTCATGTGACTTTGCCATTGATATTTATGAACAGCAACTATGATAGTTGAAATATTGAACTGTCATTCCCAACTGAAGCTTCTGTAAACAGTTTGATTGATTGATCTATTTTCTTTTCTACTCTTTGGAGCATTTCTAAAATGGGGCAAAAAGCAATTGTTCTTCTCCTCTTTTCACATAAAACAAAAACTGATATGATTTCGGAGAGTGTTCAGACTTATTCAATGAAGCCATTCACTTCTGTTGTTTTATGACAGATAAACTAACTTGTCAGCTACGGCAAGTGTCATATCGGTGTCAATGAATAATAGTACCATTTTGTTTATCGTAGTTTGTTAGCCTAGTAATTTATTTCTTGTTTATTTAATTACAATTCTTTGTATGTTTTTATTTTGGTGTAGTTTTTTTTTTAATAATTGGTTTTTCTTCTTTTCTCTCATCTACCCTTTTAAGATCTTATTAGATGAATTTGCTAAGCATGAGAAACGTGTCAGCGCACTACGTGAACAATTCAATAGAGCCATTCATTCAGGCATACGTGTTACGGGTTAGTGTAGTGTTTATTTTTTCCCTTTTTGCAATTTTTATGTTTGTCCAAAGTAAACATAGTATTATCTCTGATTGTTGTCATTTGATTCTTAATCAACGTAAAGATGTGACTTAGACCAAACTGTGATTCGCTTACTCGATTTGGATTAATGTATATGACCTCATTGTATGCCTGAAATGTAAGCACTCGTAATTAGACTTTACCGATTAGTGGCTGAAAATCATTCACTTGAACCAATGAACCACTTCTTCAAAATATCATTTTTCTACACAACCAGATGATAGTAACATGGAAGAGATATCAATGGATATAATTAATAGTGAAAAAGACTATGTATCGAGAATTTTATTAGAATCTTCAAGCTTTAAATGTATTTGTGAATAAATATTCGAATTTAAATTCAAGAGGAAGTTAAAATGTTGATGAATCTATCTATCCCATTGTTGCTGATTCTGGATCTCTAGACTGAATGTTTTCAATCACTAATTAGCAGCATAGCGCTGACTCCAACCGACTGATGCGCATCTACCAACAGACCTCATCAACAGGTAATGATTTCACAAACCGTCACCTCGTTCCGGTTTATCCTTCCTGAAATGTCCTCCTACACCAGCTGACGTTAATTATCCAGATACTCAACATATTTTTCACATTTTAATGTTGAAAATCTTGTGGGGGAACGTCAGTCACTTACTGGAAAGTACAAATTGTAGTCTTCATCAACCTTTCTGTGAATTGTCTCCGGATATTTTACTTACCAACTCATCACAGAACTCTGATTTTCCTGGGTCTGATTATTAATGAGGTTGTGAATGCACTCTCCTGATGAATCCCATACTACGGTGAATTAGCTGTATTGTGCTTCCTGGTTTCTAATTATTTGTTTAACTAAGATAACATCAGTCCATGTGGTAAACTATAAAACTCATTGACCTTCACAAACACTTCATAGAGTTTCTTCCTCTTGCTTTTTTCACTCACTGAAAAAAAAACCCAGATGAAGAACGTCAAGCGTATTTCGCTCGTATAGAAACACAACGTGCTCAAGAATATCGTGATCGTTTACGTCGTTTCTATCGTGACTATGCTTTTTCCGATGAGTTATTCACATTCACTACGGATAATTTAAAAATTAAAGCATTAGCTGATGAAAGTATTACACGTGGTGAGCAAATTATAACACAAATGAAAATTATGGACAATGACAGGTATGTATATGTTCGTATGTATAGATGCCTTGAATTTTCGTATCAAAAAGAGGTAGGAATGCCATCGATGTTGAAAAATGATGAATATTGATGCAAGTTACTCACTATTAGAGAGTAGTATGGTTTTAAACATAACCGAAATAATGATAATGGCAATCAGACACAAGCTATTTCAATAATTATGACAATTTAGCTACTTAGTTGGTTTTTGAGATTCTGAAACTGTTCTCATTAACATCATAAGACTCTAATTTTTGTATACGGAGATAATGAATTTAAGGGAGAAGCAGGTTTTTTCTCGTAAGTCTGCTAAATTAACGCAAGGTTTGAATTCCCATCCACTTCTGATAAACTGAAACCGAAACTACACTCAACCTGACCACAAGAGAAAAGCATGAATTATTGGAAGAATAGTTTGCCCTAAGGTCAATGCTACTGGAATATTCGAGATCTATACTGAATGAATGTGATTTTGCATCTTCCTGATGTTTCTGCGAAGATTCTATTTAATGCTAATTGGATTGAACATTTCCTGGTGTTTCTGGGCCTCTATAGACTTTACTGAGAGTTATTTCGGTCTCCCCAATACTTTCATGTTTAGTATACGTTTCATTGACTTTTTCATTAAAACATTCGAATTCGAACTATTAGGACTAATAAGTTTGCTATTGTTACTCTTAGTACGGCCTTCCTAGTTGATTCCCATTATCTCAGACTAGTTCTAAACGCCAACTCGAGCAATTAGGAAAAGGTGCAACACGCAAGTAAGCGGTTTATTCCGACGTTAAATTATGTATAAAAAATCGAGTGTGTTTATGTAGTTCCTTGTGACCTTTGTCTCCCAGAATATTAACTGGTAGCAACGGTTTTCGTAATGTTTCAGTCAAAAACATAACATAGGTTTCTATATTTTCTTGGGTCTTCCTGAGAACCTTCTTTTCAGTGCCGCCTGGGTAAAACGTCTTTTGGCGTTTTCCGAGCTTCTATAAACTTTGATGAGGAATGTTTTGAGAATTTGACGGAGACTCATGTTTGAATCCTATTCGTCATAAACTATTGCATGTGATCGATAAGTTTAAACAAAACAAACTAAATAATAAATGTTGTCAATAAAAATATCATATTTTATGAATCGCAGATTAATTTAGCCTTTTCGTTAGCAGTTGTAGTTTGCAACTATTCAATATAGTTACACGATTTTCTGTGTATGCTTACTTTATCGATAATATGAGTGGGTCAAAGAACTGCAAAATAATTACAACAAACTGTAATTGACAAATCGATAACATTCTAGGTGGTACACAATTTATTAGTATATATTTCGACTCAGACAGTAGCATGACTAGATGCATAGTCGACTTTCTCCTGGTGTGCTTGTAGAGAAGCTCCTACGTATAATATGTGAGCAGCTCTAACTGATATGTGCGTAAACTCTTCTTATTCAACTTGTTTCTTAACCTCGTCGGTCCTCCGTCTTCTTTTCTTTAAGTCCATGGCCAAATCTCACTGAACAACATTTTTCCACTTTATGGTGTCGTATTATTACACTGAATGTTGATCGATGGCGTTGTCAACTGCGTGATTATCCTAAACCATGTTGGGATATAACTGATCTATTTATGTGGGGTAAATTAGTTATTGCTGAACAGTTGGCAGATGATAAAGGTGAGAGAAGCTTTTGTTATTTTGCTTATATGTATACGTTAATATATTTAATCAAGTCAGTCTGATTGATAAGATCAATTTACGTATACTAAAATTGAGAGTGGTTTATGCTAATCCGTGCCATTTTTGGCTTTAAACGATCGGGTCTACAATTCGTCGGTGAGAACAGTTTTGCTATATTCTTGTAAAACCTGATCTCTCTATGTTGAGCATTTTTAACAACTCCGTGTTTGATTATCGTCGCCCCATAATAGTTAATGACATTCAGTGGTAACACCTCCTTATTAATGTAGAAGTTTGACAATCCGCGTTCGGATACAGTATCGATTATTCGAACGGTATCACCATTTTCATTGGTTTAGACGTATACCTACGAACTCTGTCCCAGCGAATTCTACATCGTGCTTTATTAGCCAACGCTATGACTGGTTAGAAAATAGAATTGATCAGTGTATGACACAGCATCAAGGCATGGACGAAAGCTGCACAAGTTTGGAATCTATCTATCTTTCACAACTCCCAGGCTGCGGTGCTGCAGGGCAACACAATGGTTTGAGATGTTATCAAATATGACCCAGAATAGAAGCTTGAGGCTCTCCTACTGTTACTTCCTGTAGAGTTGGCTTAGTCAGCATACGTTCCTCAAAGATCACACTTTCACACTTTACTGACACCAAGTATCAACTAGCCTGTAATTCTACCAGTCATCTCGTCACATGATTTTCATTTATCTTTTTTTCTAGGTCAGCGTAAAGTTATTGTGGAACCTGGTTATCCTTGGCCAACTTATACATTGATACGACCTGTTTCACCAAATAAATTCTATTATGATTTAAATGCTGGTAAATAATTAATTTTCAAAAGTTTACTTACTTATTTTCTTTTTAATTGAATATATAACGTTCGGAATTTAGCCATGTTGAATTGAGTTGAATCAATAAAGAAACCACAAGGAACTATGAAAAGTTGTTTTGTTTATAGTTCCCAATTATTTGATCTTTGTATGATTACTATGATGCACAGAACAAGTACTTTATATTCCAAGCTGGGCTTGTTACGTGCGTTATTCTAGTGCCTGAATTAGATACTGTGAATCAATATATATATTCGTGAGCAAATTCTCAGAGTTCTAGTGAGGAGACGTGACCAGTGGAGTTCAACCCTGTCGGGTGTTGGCAGTAACTACCAAAGACAAATGGGTGACGTCGCGCAAAATCCCTAGATCAATCAAAGTTAGACATTAACACCGTAGGATGCCGGCAAACTCAGTGGTGAAGAGGTTAGGTGTTCGCGCTCAAGCGTGAATGTCCCGGGTTCGAGCCCTTTGAGTAACAGAAGTTTTGGATGCGCATTGCTGATGAGTCCCACACCAGGACGAAACGGTCGTCCAGTGCTTCCGAGTTTCTAATGGTGGTCTAACAATGAATGATGATTTCAAATGTGTCAAAAGCCATAATCTGTATTACTCTAGTTGAAAAATATACATAACTAAAAAATTTTTCCATCTTTTCATATAGATGTAAAATCTGTTCATATATATTATGGTGCTAATTGGGAACCAACTGTATCATGGTTTAATCAACGTTTAGATGATATTAAACCATTGACAAAAGATAAATCTAATCCACCGCTAGGTTGGTGGGATAAAGCACGTTTATTATTACATGGACATTTATTATTTGCTGTTGATTCAATGCATTGGTCATATTCTACAAGTTTAAGTCCATATAATACAACGGAATTTTTCACATGGCAATGGAATCATGCAATTGTACATTGGGAAAATGGTATGTATGTGTTTCATTTCAGCATGAATGTATTGCTGTAGGTAGGAATCAACATTTTCATTTGTTAGTCAATGATTTAGGAATTTCGATGGAAACCAATTTTCTCATTCAAATATTTGAAATCTATTAACCAGATTAGAGTTAGTGATAGTTGAATTTGTGCACGATTACTGAAATGAAATCACTGATTGTCTTTTACCAGAAATGATTTTTTTACTGATATAACTTCACAGTTTAACTAATTTGTATGATGGGTGGTATGACCGAAGATCCGTAGTCAGATGCTGAACTGATACATTTTATGTAGTTGTGATCAGCTAATAATATTCGAAAAATCACTAGACTTCAGAGATAATATTTTGTTAAAAATGTTAGAGTTAGAAGTGTTACGTTTCTGTGTGATACGATTAGAACGCTTACTTACCGAAACGACATTCTTTACCATTTTACTATTGTTTTCCTAACATACAATTCATTTACATAAACTAAATTGTTCTTCTGAACAACATCATCATCAGCACAAACTTCAGACGAAAGTGTATTGTTCGAATTTCTCCACGTTTGACCTGTAGCTTGTTCTGTTAACCTCGGTCTTGATTGGTTGCTGTTGACCTTAAATCTGTCGTTGTTTGCACCTTTGTTTTGATTGTATGCCCCTTTTGATCTGTTTCTTGATCCTATGTCATCTATGATTTTTCTGATTGGTTGATTAATTGGGTCAATGTCGATGTGTTTATTGATTGCTGATTGACCTGAGTGACAAGCTTTTAAAATTTCTCTAGTGTTCTTTGTCCTCCCCCTTCGAATACTCCACTTCCGTCTGGAATTTGTGCTGATGATGTTGTTCAGCGGAACAATGAAAGCTTCACAACCAAAACATCCAGCTCAGAGAATGAAACACCACCACAATCATCCACCTGAGCTAAAAATTTTCTCCACCATCTCTAAATTAGGAAAATAAATGTATTCTTTTATTGAACCAATCAGTGTAAACTTCGCATTTTTTTCTGAATAATCAGATCTGTACTATCATGGACCCTACTTTCATCATGTTATATTTTATGGCTGCATTGAGATATAACATTCTAGTAGGGAGGTGTAGGAGTTACACAATCGTGTTTAATGTCGATTTATGCATTATCAATCCGATTATCTTATGAAACATTTTCCGATCTTTCAAATCATTAAAATAATAATTTAATCGGACAGGTACTTTGATTATTGGGCAGAACGCTCAGTTTAAGAATGGTCCTCTCTTTGCTTCTGAAAAAATATATCATCTGGGTTGATGAATACACGATAGAGAATTCTATCACGCTGTACATGTGTATATACGATTATCGTTGCTTTCAAAGAATTAAACACTCACATAATAGGAAATATCACGTAAATAATGTGGATATTCGACATTTTGCACTTCAATATACATGTGATCATTATTCCATTGTGTTTTTTAATCTTCTTCATAAACATCATCCTCCATGACTTGAATATGTTGTACTATTTCCGTATCTGCAGATTTCATACCAA